AAATGATGCTTTAATTTATGGTATCCAGTTGTTAGTAACTGCAGATGCTGTTGACCTTGTTCCTGTTCCCCTGTGGTCCTCTGTGGATTTGTGGAATCGCATGACCCAAGCTGGCCCATTTCCCTTCTGTATTAGAACATTGCTGATGTGTCAGAGATGCACTTGTTCCAAAAGAAGCTGAGAAAAAGGCTCCACCTTTACACATGTGCCAGGAAACAGGCCCTGTTGGTCTTGCACCATTCTGCTGGCTGCCAAGGACTGTGCTATCTCTTTAAAGCAAGTATAATTTTTTGAACTGGCTTGGTCAATTTGTTATGGTTTAAAACTGTGGAGCCAGCTGTCTGCAATCTGATGTAATGTTTCCATGGAAACTAGAAATGAAACACTTGAGCATTCACTACAGAATTTCTGCATCCAGCACTGGCCAAAATAATTAAGGCTTGAGCCATTAGAGGGTTTTGTATGGTGAAGAGAGAACTTGCATCAACACTGTGGAGAATTAAGCTGTTCCTGTTTATAGGACTACAAATACATGTGTTTTGTTCTTTTTTAATGCCAAGAAGGTATCTTCAAAAAACTGCTTCAGAAACATATGGCTGTGCATATTCAGGTCTCAGTTTTTCTTTATTAGCCATGATGAAAATTATTGGAACAGAATAGCTGTATGTGGAGAGGTGAAGTACTTGGAGTAGTTGCATTGTAAGAACTCTGACCTCTGAGTGTGATGCCTACAGTGCAACATGCTGCAAAATGCTCTCTTTTCTGACAGAAGAAAGGCCTTTCTCTGTGGGAAACCATTTAACATAAGACAAATAATATCCATTTCCTGTAATGCTTCCTTTTTAAAAGCAGGGTTTCTTGCTCTCTCTCTCTCTCTCTCTCTCTCTCACACACACACACACACACACACACACACACACAGACACACACACACACACACACACACACACACACACACACACCCTGTATAGGGATAGCATCTGCAGTGTACTTTATAGTCTTATCGGCTTTTGTAAGGTCCATGGATTTAATGGGCCAACTACTTACTACTGGATTTCAGCCAGTGTTTCCTCAGACTTCAAATTATTTGAACTCAACATTTGTGGACGTGAAATTTTCTTTATCTGCACAGCAAAGCCATTATGTTAGCTTCTCCTGCAACCCCTCCACTGTGTTTCTGTGACTGTATGCCAGTCCACCCAGAACAACCCAGCTATATCCCCAGCAGGATATGAATAGATGTTTTGGCCAGATGAGCCCTTCTGTAAATGATATTTTCTGTCAGAGCCTATAGGTCCCAGGTGCAGATTGTGGGAACTGTCCAGTCAAGCAGAAGGGTTCATTAACTGCCTTCAGTCTCTGGGAATGTCAGGGTCTGAGAGAACCCCAACTGCAGGATAACCATATTGAGGGGAATGGCAAAGAATTACAAGGAGCCCAACTCAGATAAGCATAACAAAGCAGATGGGAAGGGGCCAGATTCTCTTATGTTGGACTAGGGATCCTGCTAAGGCAAAATGGGCCCTTCTGTTGCAGTAAAATAAAGATATTTTGCTTTATGACAGTCCAACATTGGGTAAGATGGCTATGTGTCCTGTTTTACAGGGAGCTCCTCTGTGCAAAAGTGTGTTGTGTTTGAAGGTCTATTCAATTTAAGGCCAATTTGAAGTTACATAAGCATAGAAGGGGCGAGTAAGGCTTGGAAGCTACTCAACATCAGTTGGTGTCTGGACACCATAGAGCCCCATCAAGGTGTAGCTTTCAGTCAGTATTTCTAATGTTGGATCTGTACATAAAAATCACTACATGCAAACTAGATATATAAACTGGTAGACGCTGTCTAGAGGGGTGGGGTAAAAATCAAATAAATAAATAAATAAATAAATAAATGGTGTTCTTTTGTTTCTATTTTTTGGGAGATGGGTTTCCCCTTTTTTCATATTGTGTAAGTGTTCACCGTAGAATCAAAATGTGAAAACAGTACACAGATTCTTGCAAATACATTTCTGGGATTAAGATACCTGGAGAATAGGTTCTGAATATCTGTGACATGACACAGAAATATCATTGGCTGGAGTTTTGTCAATGAAATGAATGAGTTGCTGTTCATCAAGGTTGTTTCTTGCCATCCACTTTCCATCTCAGTTGTGAATGCTTCCGCTTCCCTGAGGTGACCTCAGCATTCAGACACCGTGATACATATATTTAAAAAAAAGGGTAGAAGATTATTGCCCCACACTGGGCATGGGTTTGTGCTAATTTGTTTTGTAGCTGGCACCCAACACAATGATCATGAGATCAGTTTGAAGGGACTAAACGGATTGAGCAAGGCTTGTGTTTGTTTTTTTAGAGAACAACCCACTCTTTCCCCCACAACTTGAACATGATTTTTTATATATAAGCACATCTAGAACAGCCTTGCACATCATGGTAACACACAGCTAGAATTACGTCCTGCATAGTTCATTTGTTTAATTACAAAATAGAAGACTTTTGTTCAATAACATGTGGGCCATCTGCCTCTAAAATTAGGCTACACAGTTTTCTTCTCCAGAGCTGCACAGATAGCCAAAATGACTAAAATAAAATAATCAAAACAAGACAAACCAGAAGGCAGGAAGAAATCTCTTATGGGGGTTAGTGCAGGGGCCCTCAACAACATGTTTAAAAAGGAAGTCACTACTGATTCCCTTGCTAGGGGAGAACAATAGGAGGGACTGTCACAATACAGACACAAAAACATCCCTGGGGTGGACTGTGTAGCCTAGAGGCAGCACTTTGCCCTCCCCTGGTGAAATGGTTAATGGAGGAAGCCTTTTCAAATTGCTTCAGGTAGCAGCAGTCACACTGTCATTCATGTACTAGTTTCCATTCCGTATCTTACACTTTCCTGTATCGCATGTTTTTGTTCAAAAAATCATAATTGATAGTTGAGAAGAAATCATATTGCATGCTGAACTTCCATATAGATTGTTAATGAATTGTGCAATATAAATATTAGGCAAAAACAAAAACAAATCAAAAGTACAGAAAACAGAACCATAGTGGCACCTTAAAAACTAACTGTTCTATTTTGATGTCCGCTTTCGTGGACAAGTCCACTTTCTCAGATACAGTATAAGAGTGGGACTACATAGCAAAAATTTGTACATGGCACCAAAACAAAGAGATTGTTTCCTGGCAGAAGTTGTTCCTAATGTGGCATTTCACACATGGCAATAAACTTTAAGAAACCCCTGTTGATGTTCAGTTCCTTCTAGGAGGCATTCTGCAATATGAAGTGACTTTCCCATGACTACTGTAGCACTAACCTTCAGTCTAACAGGTTCTTGAATTAATTCTTGGAATTTAATTTTATAAATCCATTTATGAGTGTTGGTTGAATTACAGTTTTCTGAAGGGGTATAGTCAGTTTGTTTAAAAATTAGTAACTGCTCTCTGGCCTCAACAAATCTCCAGTCATCTAAAGTTTGGTTTTAGATTCACAGTTATTTCTCAGAAAGTCTGTATCTATGTTAAGCATTTCTGCAGGAAATAAAACTTCGGTGCTTAAAAAAAGAAAAGAAAAGAAGCTGAAGTCTGTATTATAAATAAACTAGACAGAGGATGTTCAGAGTGCCAGCTGATCACTTGCCTTGGCCCACATTGCTAACTTGATGCTTTTTCATTTTGTAGGCATCATTGTTAAATAAAGCCCATTTAGTCAGGCTTAAAACATGACCAGATAATAATGGTGCATTCCAATATGGAAACTCAAATGACCCAAAGTTCACTGACAGGAAGTTGCTCTTGAGATTTCTGAGCTGGCTGTTGGAAATGTGATGAATTGGGTAGACTGTATATGGAGGTAAAGCGAGGGATAAGGTCTTTGGAGATTTCCAGCTGGAACGTCCCGACTTCTTGGAATGTATTGTGTACAGTGGCAGTTCTGTACTGTAAAAGCAAAGAGAGCCCCACTCTTTCTTCCTCCTCAACCCCCCCCCCCCCCGCTTTTCTCTCACACAGATTCTAAACAGGGCCAGAGAGAGGAAGTAACATATTGTGTGTTGGGTCTGTCCTGAAAATGAGAGCTCTGATTTGGTTCACAAGGAATGGATTGTTTCAGCTTGTGGTGTCACTGTTGCTGGAAAGGGTGGATTTTTTTTGGTCTCCGTAATGTTTGATACTTGAGGGAAAACAGCTGGAACTGAACATACTGCATCAGATGTGGGAGAGAATGGGATGTTGGGGAATATGGACTATACAGAGTGTCTGTAAAGGTCAGAGTTTTCCTCTGGTCAGTTCTGGAGGAATGCTCTGTTCATACTAACGGCCAGTTTTGAAAATCGTCAGCATGAGAAGCTTTGGGACAGCGAGGGAGAAGAGGTTTCTGTGGCTCTTTGTAGCTAATAAAATAAGTCAGAGGCGATGAGATCGACACTTTCCTTTTCCTTCCCTTTCTTCTCCCCCCCTCCCACTATTTTTGCTGCTGCTGTTTTTGATTTACTTGTAAGGCTGGAAAAAAGGAGTCAATGATAGAGTTTCAACTCAGTTTGGAGAAGCTGTTTATAACTAGGTTTTTAAACATCAAGTTCCACCAGGCCAGACAAGACCACTGCCTGACCAAACCACAGGAGCTTAACTAGAGTGGCTAAAAGAGTCTGGCCTGAAATGTGCTCAGAGAGAACGTGGATATAGCTATTATTATACAATGAGCGGAGAGGAGGACGAGGGCTGGAATGCATTTTGATTCCTGAAACTTTATGTTGCACTAAGTTAAAATGGTATGTTAAGCTTTTTTTAAAGTCTGTGTATGTGTGTGTGTGAGAGAGAGAGAGAGAGAAAGAGAGAGAGAAAAAATGAGAGACAGAGAGAGTGGGTGAATATCTGGGAGTTGAGAATTATAATTTTACAGGTTTTGCCTTGTCGGGGAACACAGTATGCCTGGAGTTACTTGTCTTGATTTTGGAAAGTAACCGAGACTATTGTTTTATTAACATTTCCTTTTGTTTCCCTGCCAGTCAAGAGAACAATCAGATGATGAATCAGAAGAATCTGTGAAGTTTAAGAGATTGCACAAGCTGGTCAACTCCACTCGCAGAGTGAGGAAGAAATTAATCAGAGTGGAAGAAATTAAGAAACCCGGCACTGAAGGTAAAGATTAGCGATGCTGAGAAGGAGAAAACGCCGTTGAAGATCTTGGGAGTGGAGCAGAGTGGGTGGGTGGGTTAGATTTTTCTATTGAAATCTGCATGGGAAGATTGTTGTAAACATTTAAATGTTTTGGTCAAGAGAGGGAAATCCAGAACAAGGATTAAAACAGTTGACTGTGCTTGGTTGCCGTCTTATGTGCTGTTGCTGTATGTTAAATTAAAATTAATCATCTGGATCAAAATAGACAATTTTATTAGGTGCTTGCACAAAAGGCTTAATATTTTACTACTGTGTTAATATTTAATTGGTCTTGGAAGTGGGATGGGATTGATGGGTGGGCTAGATTTTTTCCCCTCTGTTTTAGTGATAGTCTCTTTTACTTTTATTGCCTTTTCATCTGTTTCTTATTTGCTTTGGTTTTAAATATTGTTTCTTATCCCTTTTAATGTATTTTTTAAAAAAATGTTCGTTATGGAGAGTCTGAAGTAAAAGGGTAGCATGTAAATACAATGAATGAATGAATGAATATCTGATATTACTTATTTCACACTCCTAGCTGTAGCTTACCAACAACAATAACTTCTCATTATATCACAGGGCATTGTAGAAGATCTTTTGACACTGAAATATATTTTTCTGAATGTGTCTGCTAGGAAAAGTGCGGGGGGGGGGGAGAGCCTCGTTACATAAGGAGATCTTCACCCATTGTTCTTTGGATCCAAACCAAGAAATATTAGATGTTTTAAAGAGTAAAGATGTGACTTCTGACTTTGTTAGCATGCTAGGTTATTTGTTAGGGATCTCATTTATCAACAGGGTAGTTTTATATCACAATTCTCTTCTGCTTTATGTACTGAAGGTGTCAAAAGTTTGTGTTGAAACTCACTGTGCTCAAAGGGTTTGTTTGGGGCAGAGGGATGGCAGGAGCAGAAGGTAGCATAATTCTTTCTGGTAAGCTCATGGAACATTTTGTAAAACGGTTCCTGCCAGTTTCCTTTTTTGCTCATGCTTCTTTTCTGTAAGTTCTTGAGCTCTGAAATCTGACTCTGATGTTAGTTGTCTTGCTCAGGGGAATTAAAAGAGCTGAGATAAAATGCAAGAGAGGGGCTTGCCCTGTAGGTTGGAAGGCCAGTGGGTTTCTCATGGGATGTTGAAACATCTGCCATAGAACCCCTCCCTTCAAGATCTACAAATTATTCTTTCACCAAGGAATGATGAGTCTGTCAGAAGATTCATGTGGTTCAGTTGGGTGGAAGTGGGGAAATGCCACAATTTCTTCCATGGCAAAGATTGGTTTTTAACCCTTCAGAATAAGGGTACAGAAGGGGTGAAGTGTTTGGATCCATTTCATATGTTGCTAAGCATACTTTTGACAAACAAGAGCAAACATGATAAGCATTTTTAAAAGCTATTAATAAACATGTACCTTTTTTTGGGGGGTCAAGTAATTAAATGTAGTGCAAACAAGTTTGAAATTCACACTGTGAAAAAGGATGTTTCTGATAAATATGTGATTTTTCTCTAATTCTGTTTGACAAAATGCCCCAAAAGACATCTCAGTAAACATTGGCAGATCTTTGAGGACAACTAGGTGGATGTAATGAATCTGGCTGCATGTCTAAATAATGTGCTATGGCTCAGTTCAATATTAAAAATAAACCATGATAAATAACCAAATTAATAATAAACCAAGAATGAGCAGCAGAAGGTCTCATTAAGCTCCTTCTTCATGTATAAGAAAAGGGGATCAGGAACTTTTGCATATTCTTGGAGCAAACATTTGTGTAATGTACAAATGTACAGATTTGTATAATGTACATGCATAAATGCTTGTGGGAAACACTTTACCTTTGGCTTCAATCCCAGTCTAGGATTAAATAAATTACACCCAAAGCAGAACTTGGATTTACCATAGGTCTTCTTCATAGATGGAGTGAAGAAGAGTTCATCATGTTACATTTGAATTGAACTAAATCTAATTAGTACAGTGGTGTCTCGCATTATGACATTAATTCATTCCAGCGAAATCGCTGTAGAACGAAAACATCGTAATGCGAAATTTAAAAGCCCATAGAAATGCATTAAAACCCGATTAATGCATTCCTATGGGCTTGAAACTCACTGACCAGCGATGATCCTCCATAGCGTGGCCATTTTCGCTGCCCGTGCAGCGAGGAATCCCTCCCAGAAAAGAGCGGGGAGCCATTTTTTTTACCCAGGGGCCATTTTGAAACCGCCGATCAGCTGGCCGAAAATCGTCCTTTTGCGAGAATCTGTTCCCGAAACAGGGAACTGATCATCGCAAAGCGAAAAAACCCCATTCAGACCATCGTAAAGCGATCGCTTTTGTGATCGCAAAAAGTTCATCGTAATACGGTTTCGTTGTTAAACGGGGCACTCGTCTTGCGAGGCACCACTGTATCATGTTCAAAAGTGGTCCATGTTGCTTTGGTCATCTTTCAGACAAAGACACTCACTGAATTTTAAACAATGAAGAAAAGAATGATGATGTCATATTGACTGTCTTTTTAGGGGCAATAAACATGTTGTGGATACTGGCTTGCTTCCAGACTATTACCACTAAAAGCAAAACAAAAAACAAACAAAAATCCAGATGCTATTATTGAACAACATTTATGTAAATCCTGTTGATTCAATGGATCTGTTCTAATGGGAATACAAGTTGGATTTAGGGCTAAGTGTATATATTGCTGAATTCAACCACCAGTATATGGAATAAAGAATGCAGCGTTAGTCTCAGCTATAGTAGAGCCACTAAATCAATGAAATGTACCTAAGTATTGACTTACTAGTGCTATGCAATTTGTTATCTTCCTATAACAGGAAGAAAAGGAAATAAAAAGCTTCAGAGTTCTAAATCTAGGCTAGTGTAGGTTGGCTTCAAACCTTAGTAGTTCTATTCATACATAGCCTATGCTATATTCAGCCTAACAACTAGAATACAGAAAGAACATAAATTATATGACCGGCCATTTTTCTTTAACCATGGCATATAATCATGGACTTACAAAAGACCTAGTGGATTCTTTAGTCATAACACTTCTAACCTAGAACAGCCTAATGTTTTTGCAAAACATACGCCATTGTGGGGTGTTGGTTCTTTTCATTCATGTGATGGTAGTGTTTTTCAGAAGATCATTAATCTATCTTCAATGTTAGTCTGGACTAGAGTAGTCCTATTGAATCAATTAAATTTACATAAGTTTTACTCACCACAATTTCATTTATTTAATGGATCTATGCTAGTTTGAAAGAACAATTGGATCTACATCACTAAGTTCACTGGAATGTATGCCAATATTACAGTGTTATTTATCCATAAATCTGCTTGTATGAAGATTATTCTCTTCTTCAAAAAACAGAGTATCTTCATACTTCTTTGGCTGTAAGAGGCACAAAAGTCTTCCCTGCATAATGTGCCTTTTTTGCTTCTTCTCCCTTCCTGTTGAAGCTAATGCAATATTCCTCTCTAGGTGTGGATGAACATTCCATTGACAACTCTCCAGTACCAGACGACAGATCAGCGCTTTACTCTGGAGTCCATAAGAAGCAACTCTACTTGGATAACTCTTCCGAGAAACAACAGGATGATAACTGTGACTCACTGACCACATCTCCTTCATCCAGCAGCCTAGATACTTGGGGTACTAACAGGAAATTGCTCAAGACCTTCAGTAAATCTGATAGCCGTGGCCTTATTAAACCTCCAAAGAAGCTTGGGACATTTTTCTCCTACCCAGAAGAGGAGAAAACTCCCAAGGTTTGTCGCTCCTTGACAGATGGAGAAATGAAAAAGAGCCTCGGTTCTCTGAGCCACGGGGTAAGTAAAGAAAGGGTTTGCTTTTATGACAACAGGCGCAAGCACCATGTCTTGGTATCCTTGGAGGAAATCCAAAGTGTCAGGAAGCAGATCCGACTAAAAAAGACAGATTCTAACTACTCGTGTTCTAGAGCTTTTCTCTGTCAGCGTCCTGCTAGGAAAGGTGTATCTCCTTCCATCTGTGACCTACAGCTTCTTCGTCACAAATCCAAGGGGGGAGGAGGAGGAGGAGGAGGAGGAGGAAGCTGCAGTTTCCCAAACAGAAGGCTTCGAGGGCGCAGCTCGGTCAGTGAGTTCAATATCACTTATGTGGTGGAGAGAAGCCTCTACAGCCACCTCAACCTGTCACATCTGGTGCGGCCCATGACTGACAGGAGCCTGAGCAAAACTGAGGAGCAGGATTTGAGGCGATGCCTACTGGAGGAGGAGGAGGAGGCGAAGAGGAAGTGGGCTGCCACGGTGGACCGCTGTACTAAAAGGGTTCTCTTGAGAATCCACCAAAAGTCTGTGAGTCCAAGAGTTATCACTGAAGGTAGCCTTCCAGCTCTTATGAGGTTGCAGTCAGTATGGCTTGCATTTTTCCAGCACACCACTTTAAATGCTTAGCAGTTTATTTGCTTTCTCTTCTTTTCCCCACCCCCGCAATTCTCCCCCCCCCCATTCATTTGCCAAGGGTATGTTCTAGTAAGTGTTCGAACATAATATTCTGGTCCCTAGTGTCCAGATTGGCAAAAATTTAAGAAGAAACACTTTGCCCTTCCTATTCAGCTTGATTAAATTCAAGAAAAACAAAGCTGAGGTTTGTGTTTAATAAAATTATAATGAAGATTGACATGTTAAACAATCCAGCACATTTATTTTTAAAAAGGTTATATGCAATTTTATTTACCTGCATTCTCCCTTATCAGTATAATTTTATGGACATAGCACTTCTGTTTATGTACACTTTTGACGAGTCAAATATTGTTCAGTTTCTGAGAGCAACTTGAATAACAGAGGTAGGAGTAATGGGGCTTTTGTTCATTTGTTTTGCTTTAAGGATATTTTGCCCATACATCCACTCAAGGATGTTTCAGTTAGTTAAAAGCAAAATGTTAGATAGCACCAAACCATTAAACAGCAATAAAAGAAGAGGAGTAGAAAAGGCTGTATGGCACAGAATGCAAATGAAGGAAAATAAAAAGGATCCCTTCAATATTTTCCCATGCCTTTCCTTTCTGCCTGCCAAACTATTTAACCTAATTCTAAAAACTTTCCCCTTGCGTCTAAAGAAGCGGTGGTGGTGGTGGATATCCTTTAAAATAGGCCAACCGCTTTGCAAGTGCTATTACCTGCCGACTGGCACGGATGCTTCTAAAAACAGGAAAAAGCCTCACCCTGCATGCTGCTTTCTGCAGAATCAAAGAGCCAGTGAGAACAGAGGAAAGGAAAGAGGGTTCACTGCAGATCTACTCAGCAAGTCAGTCTTCATCTATCATGGGATGGCACTTACACTGGGTGACTGTACACACAAGGGCCCAACAACTGATGACTCTCACAACAACCATGCTTTCAAATGAAAGCATGGTTGTAGTGACCTATGAAACACAAGGGCCCAACAACTGATGACTCTCATAACAACCATGCTTTCATTTAAATTGTAGTGACCTATGAATTATTAACACATGCAAAGACAATTTCACACATAATTCAGCACACAGTGCCTGAGGCATTAACAGTAGGCTGGCCTGAGTAGTAGCTGAAGGGTTGCTTAAGTCCAGTGGTTTCTAACCTTGGGTCCCCAGATGTTTGTGAACTACGACTCCCAGCAATCCTGGCCAGCACAGCTAGTGGTGATGGCTTCTGGGAATTTTAGTCCAAGAACATGTGTGAGGACCCAAAGCTGAGAGCCACTGCTCTCGCCCATCATATGGAGAGGTGAACTAGTGTGTCTGACAACCCAGGCTCTACAAGCCTGGTGCAGTTAAACAAGGATGGATAATCTCCACTGTTGTATACACAAATGGGTCAGGAATGGAAGTTAACTGGACTTAGTTATACATGACTTGGGTTTTACAGGCAGGTGTTCCTTCTGCTCAGCAGGTCTTTTGATTTATAGCTCTAGGCACTGTCCATCTAGTGGCACCTGAAATTCCCACTACTGCTCTGTAAAATGAGGTAGTTTTATAAATAAATTAGACTGAGCTGAGTTTTAGGTCCGGTGACTACTTGTTAAGCCCATGGCAGGGTTGCATTCTGAGCCAGGTTCCCTGAGGCAAAATAGTTATGCTTTCCAAGTGATTCTTAGTGATTCTTCTGTCCCTTTGATATTACAGAAAGAACCAAGTCACTGTCTTATTTTCCTTATACGTATAAAGTTGTTTTCTAGGAAGAAAAGAATGGAGACACTTTTGTTAAAAGATTCGCAAGACTAGAGGAGATTTAGCAAGAAACAATTACAGAAGGTAGCACAGTGATATTTTCTAACATGTGTTCTGTAGGGTAAATTTTAAGGCTGTGATTGTAGTGGACAAAAGAATAACATAGTCTTCCTTGCTAATTTGTAGCCAGCTTTGCAGCTTCATTTAGCTAACAGTCACTGTGAGGGTACATTAATTTCTGCTTACAGCAATCAACCCCTTTCCCCTGATGTTTAAGACGTTTGCTAAATCTGCCCTCCTTTGTAAGATACTTCATAAAGAGTGTTCACCTTTATATTCAGTGAGAGGAGGGTCCATAATATTTCAGAGGGTGAGATACCAAAGTAAAGATAATTCTGCTCGAGTAGCATAGTGTATTTATGAAAATAGGTAATCTGGACATCAATTTCATTTTTATAATCTTGCAGTTTTGACCCTCAGATTACCTTAATATTCCATATACAGTGGTGCCTCGCATAGCGAGGTTAATCCATTCCGGATTAACCCTCGATATGTGAAAACATCGCTAAACGGAACATAAAAACCCATTGGAACGCATTAAACATTGTTTAATGCGTTCCAATGGGCCATAAACTTACCGTTCAGCGAAGTTTCCTTCCTCCATAGCGGCAGCCATTTTCGTGCCCTCAGGGCTTCCGGTGGCCATTTTGGAACTGCCTAACAGCTGATCCACAGGCATTGCAAAGCGAAGATCGGTAAGCGAAACGCTTACCGATCGTCGCTATGCGAGTTTTGCCCATTGCGACCGTCAGTATGCCTCCGCATTAGCGATCCCGAAAAAGGGATCGCTATGCAGATTCGTCATTATACGGAGCGCTCGTTAAGCGAGGCACCACTGTAGTTTATTGTTCAAATAGCTAGGGGCCAAATGTCCTTGTGTGCTACCTGGGATGTTTGATTTGCTCCATAGGAGAAAGGAATTCCCTTTTCTTTTTTTCCCTTTTCTTTTTTACCTTCTTTAAAATGGATAAAGCTTTAAATCAATTACATCCTTCTTTTCCAAATGCCTAAGAATTTGATACAGTGCTTGTGAGCTTTCAGCACCTCTACACCCTCTTCCTCTGAGTCATGACTGCTGACTGCAACCTCAGGGAACTGTGGCAGCCTCATATTCAATAGGATGGTTGCCTGTCTTGTATTTCAGTGTATTTTGGGCATCTACATTTATTTTTTTATGTATTTATTGGGTGGCCAAGGCATGCAAAGACCTTTCCAACATTCACCAATGTGTTTTTCAATTGCACGACCATTCCATTGAATATCCTACAATATTTTTGTCCAAAGACTTTATTTTGCATGTTGCTGATATAATTTTTGTGAGCTGTGAAATTTGTATTTATAGGCAAATGCAGAAGTACAGCTTGATCTTAAAAATACAGGGACTGCCTTTGTTTAGCTGTAGTTTTGTATGTAGGATGCCAGAGGACACACTGTGGCTGTAGCAGTAAGCACACTTATGTACAGATGTGCATATATAGTGAAGCATGCGTCACTTCAAAATGTGATGCTCATATTTGATATTTAAAGTCATTACATTTTCTGACTTTGGTTACCTAGTGCCCTGTCACACTGTTTTTGTTTATGTACTTTTTGAAATACAGGTTCAGGTGTTGACTTTGTGGATACTATCTTCTGAGCTTGCTTGGCAAAATGCTATTTCATGTTCACCACTGAGCATGAAGGAAAAATAGAAGGTTTCTTATTATAGGTCTCTAGATGCAGTTTATTAGCTACCTTCTAGTGACCTGCCCGCTAACAACAGACTCCATAATTAACGTATTTTTAGAAGCCTCTTTTTGGTGAGAAGTTGTTGTTGCTGTATGACACCGGATAATAATCAAATCCCAATTTCCCAACAGATTTTCTAGTGCTTGTAAGATAGAAGGGAGGGAGAGAACTGCACATAGCTGGTTGACTTGTAGAGGAAGAGAAAATTCCTCTTGTGGGACTGGAAGGGAGTTGTGCAAGGCAGAAGAAAGGCAGTGCTCTAATGCTGATGTATTTAAGCAGGCAAAACTATTATAATGAGCATCAGTGTTTTTGGCTTGGGCTGATGTTCTGAGAGTGACTCATTTCACTAAATTGTGCCACAGTAAATATAACCTACTTTCTTTTGTAGCTCTCACAAAGCTGCTTTGTATCATGGAAGACTTTGTGAGAAACGTGGAGTCAATGCTTTCCAAGAATTAAATCCCTATTCATGTATCTCTCCTGGAAGCTCTGGCAAGAGTTTGCTTTGGTGAAAAATGGCGGATGCCTAGAGAGAAGCCTCTCTGGCCTATTGTGTTTAGGATTTCTAAATACATGTCCTAAAAGCTGCTCCATAATAGAGTTTTCTTCTTTTCCCCCTCCCCTCTTCTAGCCCTCTGCATCACCTGAAAACCAGCTTCAGAGGGCTTTCCAGCCCTGTGGAGCAGGTTTTGGAGGTGCACAGGGCTGCAAAGGAGAAAGGGGTGGCCTTTGTAGGTCCATAAGAATTGGAGATCCATCAGAGAAACCACCTGTTTCGACTATATTCCTCGTCTGCTTCTGTAATTTCTCTAGTACTCTGTGGGTTCAGATCAAAGGCTTTTTGTTATTCTTTCATATCCCATTTTCAAAAAAGTGAAATTAGGGTGAAAATTGAGATTTAAACTGGCAATGCAGGAGTCTTCATTTCAGGTTCTGATACTTATGGAGCATCTTGAAAAGTCAGCATGAATTTAAAAATATCTGAAGATCAGAGTTTTTAAAATGATCTGCAAATAGCACCATAATGCATGAATGTAATGCCAGAACATTTTACATTTCTCATCATGGTTTGGTTTTTACCCTCATTTGTACAATTGGATGATTTTTCGGGTTTCTTCTGTGTACTGGAAGATGTTCAGTTCTCTGTGTTGGTCTTGTTGTAATGCACTTGTCATGCATTTGTCTTGTTTCACAGAGAACCTGCAGCTTTGGTGGCTTTGACTTGACAAATCGTTCATTGCACATTGGAAACAATTTGGATCAGATGGTGAGTGAAAAGATTCAGGGCACGACATAAACTTCCCTGTGTCTCCTTACTAATGTCATTCTAAGGCACAGTGTAGTTATCTGTAATTAAAATTTAAACACAGAGGCTACTGCCATAATATCACTGTAAGATCCATTAAAATAACATCCATTCTTGGTTGCAACAAACCAACTATTGTACTGTTTTGAACTAGTGTGCTACATGGTAACGATAGAGTTGCTTTTATACCATACAAAATAGTTATTTATTTTCCGTATAATGATACTAATTAAGATGCAAGATTACCACAGCCACCTATTTATACTGGAAACAACAAATGAACCTCTATTGTGTATAATAGCACACACTAAATATCTAAAACTATATTTATTATTACTTAGGGACACCAATGCCCGGACAAAATGAAGTGCTACACTGAGCTCTTGAGGGTGTATCTTTTTTTTTTAACTTGGTGAAAGACGCAGCCCATTCTGGAGCTTAGAAAAGGTCTGGGGCTGGGGGCAGCATTCTTTGCTCTTGTGTGATGGCTCAGAGAGAGGCTCGCCCGCAGTATCCAGGACAGCATCTGCCTTTTCCTAAACCACCAAGTATTTTAAATGCCCAATGGGAGGGTTGTAAAGAGCCAGAAGTGTGGCCTCATTTTATACACTTAAGTGATGACCTCTTTAAATGCAGTTGTGTGGAGCATTCTCCTTTTTCTTAAGTCAAGCCACTTTCAAGATGGGATTGCACTTTTTAAAAAAAGTTTATCACAGAGGAAACTTAAGGATCATGGCAAATAGACATTTGCAATTCTATTCATGTGTATCCATGATTAGATGACAGAATGTAATCAACCTTGTGACCACTCAGAAATATTCTTTTCTTTGCGAGTGCTCTGTAACTTCTAATTTGCCTGATTCAATGTTATCCTGCCTTTTTTTTACACATTTTTCTTACATTCTCAGTTGAGATATATTATGGTGAGGACAGGAGAAAACAGAACTTTACCTAAGCAACCACTAGGGACTTTATTTCCTTCTGCATGTAAGTGAAGCAGATAAGATTAGTAGCAGGAACCATCTGTTCCCCCCCCCTTCACCTTATGACTTATGGTCAGCCCTACACAGGACTGTCTGAAATACATCACCTCTTCACTGCCTACAAAATGGAGCAGAGAAATTCAGAGGCCCTTTCATATTAGCGGTCCCCAATTCCCTTGTGATTTTTCCAAATTTCTGTTCCTGTTTGCATTTATAAAATCTGCATGGCTGTTCTTACCTATTAGGCTGTTTGGCCCTATATACTTTGGTATCTTCTGTATGTGCACACAGTACATGCACACACACTGTGTGAAATTTTGCCTGTTGCAATATGTGATGTATTATTTCTCCCCTTTCCCTTTTGAAGCTGAATTCATGATTGCACCAGGCATTTTTGCGAGCTGGGTTCTGTTAGTAAAGCATCCTCTCTCTCTGTTGCTATGAATCCAGATCCTTTAAAGTTCTTGAATTGCCCTGCTGTAGTGTGTGTGAGAGTGAAATGGTCCTGAAAACATCCCAGCTGGAACACTGGCCAGATGGACGGGCTCTCCAGGGGAAGGGGGAGGTATGGCGAAGTACAGCTGCAGAAGGCTGGACTCCTGGAAAATAAACATCCAAACAGTTTGAGATACGAACTGGGAAGCAAGTTCATGCAGCAGATTGGCTTCTTTTTCCTTCCCACTTAAAAAAAATTCTTACTTCCATCCATCTGGATATAAAAACCACATCCTTCTCTTCTTGTTCCCTAGAATTTAGGATGATTCTCTAAAATTGATCTGTAATCTGCTCTACACAAACAGATTATATTGACTTGGGGAATTCACTATGAAGAGTACCACTTGCTAGTCTGAGTGACTGTTAAAGAGGACCAGGAAAAAAGATGAAAGAAAAGGCAATTAGTCATGATAGCTAAACAAAATCACTTTATTTCAAGACAGTTTAGTTCTCCATGGCATGTGCTACCCTGTTTCCCTGAAAATAAGCCCTAGTATGATTTTCAGGATGCTCATAATATAAGCCCTACCCCAAAAATAAGCCCCAGTTAAGGGAAACCCTTCTCTCCACCATTGTGCAGCAACCAGAAGGTGACATGCCTGAATATGAATAAATGTAGATTGTTGTATATGAAAAAAATAAAACGTCTCCTGAAAATAAGCCCTAATGCATTTTTGGAGCAAAAATTAATATAAGACCCTGTCTTATTTTCAGGGAAACGCGGTAGTCTCTGATAGGCTAATGGGCTTCATGAGCTGCTTGTGAACTCCCGGAGGCACCTATGACAGTGCAATGCTGGACCTTTTGGATCGTGGTATCCATTAAGGATACTTTCACGTCACCATCTTCCAATGGTCCATATAGTTCTAGTACCAACGTACACCCACCCACGTTCTTCTTAGAAATCTTAGAATTGCAGAGCTGGAAGGGACCCTCTGGATCATCAAGTCCAGCCTCTGCCAAAGAGGCACGGCAGGGAATTGAACTCCCAACCTCTGGCTCTGCAGCCAGAGACGTAAAGGACTAGAGTACCCAGCAGCTGTTGTTGACCCTCTGATATTGTAAGCTAAAATCTTTAAATGCTTATTTAGTATTTGTAAATAATATGCTTAAGGGAGATTTGAGTACTCTTTTTCTCTTTCTGGTACTCCGGTGTATTTCTTTGTGGGGTAAAAAAGAGTTCAGGAGTAGAAATGGAGGTATTCCGCCAGAGACGTAAAGGACTAGAGTACCCAGCAGCTGTTGTTGACCCTCTGATATTGTAAGCTAAAATCTTTAAATGCTTATTTAGTATTTGTAAATAATATGCTTAAGGGAGATTTGAGTACTCTTTTTCTCTTTCTGGTACTCCGGTGTATTTCTTTGTGGGGTAAAAAACAGTTCAGGAGTAGAAATGGAGGTATTTGTATACAAATACGAATACCCCTAGGCATGTGGACATAACGAGGGTCCAGCCCCCTGGGGCCAAACTGTCCACTCACCCTTCCTATCACTCCGTAGCTCGTGGTCAACTAGCCACTCCTGGCAGAAGGCTTCTTCTTTTTTTTTAACAGGACAGCCTCCAGAAGCTGTAAAAAACATCCACATGGAGCCTTAGGGGCTCAATTTAGCTGCTCTGTGATTTCATAAAAATTGCTTCTTCATAAATGCAGCCTTTTTTTTTTACTTTTAAGTAATAGCTAATGATACTCTTTTTTGCAGTGAATATGGATAGTTTTGTGGGAAATATGACAGAAACGCTTATGTGGATTTTGCTTTACTGGGAAAAAGCAAAATCAGGAAAGCTTTGCAAAATTCTTACAAAACCTTTGAAACCTGAGCCACAGACCCCTTCACCTGTTCCTCACCCTTTTGGACACACTGTGGGAGGGGCTGGCAGAGGATTCTCCTTGTTGAACTTCTTTTTTTTTTAATTTTACAGGGCAAAGATGGTGATTTTGTTTACAAAGAAGTGATCAAATCTCCTTCAACATCTCGCATATCCCTTGGTAAAAAGGTGAAATCTGTAAAAGAAACCATGAGGAAAAGGATGTCTAAAAAATACAGCAGCTCCGTGTCAGAGCAGGTATCCAAGTTCATCCATTTGCTTGTTTGTTTCAAATGAAACAGCTTGTTGCCTTATTTCCTGGAGTTAATATACAGGAACTCTCAGTAGCTAAGTTTTGGGTAGGAATACTTAAAATAGCTGTGTGTTTTTTTCCCCCTCCCCTGACAGACTGCAAGATTTTTCTGCCACTTTTGACAAAGCCCTTTGCCTTTGTGAAGAACAGTTTTACACAGATTGCCATCTTGATTTTGAGTCTGGCTCCCTGTGTTTCCCAGGCTAGGTTGTGTCTGCTGATGCTTCTTCAAGATGCCATGGGGGCGGGTGGGGGGGAGAAGCAGAGGGAAAGAGGGCACCGCTGGATTCCTCAGATGGTTTTCTTTCATCAACGTTTTCCTGCTTGCACTGCTTCTTTTCTTTCCCTAACTGCCCACCCCCACCTCTGCTTCAGTTTCTTCCTGCTTTTCTAGTTTTTTAGTTAGTTTTGGAGTAGGCAGACAGGCAGGGTATCACTCAAAGCAGGCATTCACAGACATTGAGGATGGCTGCTCACGCAGCCCCTTTTCTCTCTGCCTGCTAAGCAGCCACCCAAGCACTGCATCATCTCCCTTCCAGTTTCCTGTTTTGGAAGAGGGAATAAGCATTATGTTGGGGAAAGGAAGAGGGTGGACAGAGGAGGACAAGGAGGGGTCTGGCTTGATTAATCAGCCGGGCTTTCTGCTCTTGCTGTGCACCTAGAAGGAATGCCTGCTCTAAGTGAAACTGCCTGCCTGCCCCCAAAACTGGGAAGTGGGTGGAGCTCAATCAAAGGTGGAGTGGGGTGGCATGGGAAGAAAGAGGACACAAACAATCTAAGCAGCCAGGGGGTCCAAAGAAAATTGCTCCAGCACCACCCCTTTCCTTCTGCTTCTGCTGTGTCTTCTGAGCTGTGGGGTACTGAGCTGCTTGGACTGAAATAGAAGGGAGGGAGGGAAGTCCATACGGCCTGTCCTCCTACTTCCTCCCTGTTCCGACCTATACAAAAGAAAAATTCTGTGCAGAGATAGTTTTCACAGATGGTTCTGGAAACCCCATGGAAGAACGTGCTTTGTCTAATTCTGAAGCTTGTAGGGAGAAATCTCACAAGCATCAGTGCTTTCTCAGCAGACTGTGTCAATGTGTCAAGACAGCCTGTCTTATTGGGGACAAGTTGTTTTGTGAATACTCTGTATTTCTAGTTTTGTGACATTGCTGAGCACTACAACAGCATCACTACAAAACTAGCCTTAGGTGCAATGTAGTAAAGCAATTTCAAGGCTTTTTCAAAGCGACTTACTGTGAAAAGAGTGTCAGTAAAACCATAAAAGAAAGTTAGGACTGAGTTAGGTCAGTAAAATACACGATTTCATTGTCTATATGCTGGTAGCTCACTGCCTGTGAATAAAATCACATGCCTCCATCCAGCCTTATAACAGTGTCACAATATTACAAACACATGCTCCAAATGGTGCAGCAACATGCAGTCATTTGTGGGGGAAGATATGTTTCCCAAGTAGAAAAAAAGAAGAGAAAAATAATCATGTAACTATAATTAGAATTTTTGGTCTGCTAATTATGGACAAAATCATGTTTGTGCCACTTGAATATGCCAGGTATTATGCTTGATAATAGGGAACTGCACAATTTGATTGTGCAGTAGGTCATACCATTCCCATTGTGACATTTGTGCAATGCACTAGCAGAAGTGATTCATGGATAGCACTTATGCCTTGGTGCTATTGTAGCTACTCTGGGTGTCATGTCAAGTTACGCCCACATACCTAAGCAAGAGGATTTTGCCCACTAATTTTTAAAATTATGGTCAAGCTTTCCAGTAATGGGAATTCAGCAATGTTTCCTCTAAGCTGTGTGGGTGTGTGGCCATGCAGCCCTGTTGCACACCCTCAGCCAGTGTTGCTACCCATTTGGTTCTGGTTGTGGTCAGAACCCCACATGTGGGGGGAGCGGTTGTGGTCAGAACCCCACATGTGGGGGGGGAAGTGGGGGCCCCACCCAGTTCTAGTGAAAATTTAGAGGGGCACTGAGAGTTTCTTCTATCTCGGACTCAGGGGACTGCATCACAGAGCCATCCCAAAGAAATGCACCTAGGCTTAATATCTGTGAGTTTCATTTTGTCCAGCAGACCTTGCCAAGGGACAAGATGTGGCATCAGGAGAAGTTGTCTTTCCTTTAATTCCATCACTACAGAGTTCCATGTGGCTGATCCTATAAGTTCATTCTGCAAAAACAATATATTTTTAATGTTACTCTTTCAATTTCCTTTGGCCAAATTTAGTTTTCCAAACAGGTTGTGCATTTGGCAGATTTTGTTCAGTTTGGTTTGGTAGATTCTCAAAATGTGCAAAAAAAATCTATGATTCTTTTTTTCATCAGTCTTTCCACTTGAACTGTGTGCATAACAAGGAGTTGCTGACAGGCAACCACAGCCTTTGGAATGGGCTGCAGCAACAGTTTCCTGTAGTTAAATACTGCCCTCTAGAGGACAGTTGAATAATGAGGTGGCAGCACTGTACTATTACAAATCATTCAGGACCTGAAAGCAGTGAGCCTTTGATAAGCATATCGGAGCATGTGTTTATCTTTATGTCCTGGGAGAACGGTTGGAATAATAACTGCAAAGCTAAATTCAGGGCTCCAGTCCCTGTATTTTACTTTTTGTTCATTCTTATCTCCAGTAATATGGGACTGATTTCAAGCCAGAAGCCTTTCAAGGAGGGAACATCACTTTCATTGTATGTTTGTTTTCGTGGGTGTGGAGCCTTCAGTCACTGAGGTTCCAAAGCCTGTGACTGTAGATCTGTGCAGAAGTGAGGCATTCTTTTATTGTTTCTCATGAAGCAAAATACATGGTTATCCACCACACTCCTTCTCTAAAACTAAGGTCATTTGTTATGTTGTGTGATGCTAGTAACACAGTACCGGACTGATTTGCCACTGTTCTACTTGCATTTGCATGCTTTCGAACCGCTAGGTTGGCGGGAAGTAACACAGTACCAGACTGATTTGCCACTGTTTGCTTCAGATGCCTCAGATTAGTATAAAACTGCTGCCATTCCAGTGCAACTTTAGTAGCCCTCTATTCATTCTAAAATTGCATTCTGCTGTTGATGTGACAAGTAGTTGACAATCTTCATTCATAATACTGATCAATTTTATTTTAATTTTAATCAGGATGATCTTAAATATCTTGAGATCCATTATTTCACAGTGATGTGCAGTCACTCGGTCAGTGTGGATCCCACCTATTCCACACCATCATTTTGAATTCTGCGCGCGCGCGCGCACGCGTGTGTGTTCTCGTTCCTTGGATGAGAGAGACACCATCTTCTGCTTTACCAGACTAGAAGAACCTATTGTAGCCTTTACTCCACTGGTGTAGTCTTTGAGAGCCCAAGACCACCTTCATCACTCTATGGAACAGTTTTTAATCAGAGAAGACCAAAGTAACCCCACCATGGCTAGTGTCAATTTAAAATTACTGGTACTGTTTTGGAATAAACTGAAGTAATTGTAATTTCTTAACCTGGATTAAGAGCAAGTTGATCATTCTACTGGTGATGCATCAGACATTGTCTTCTTTTATCAGCTTCTATACAATTGTCCCTTGTACATGGACAATTTAAAAATCTTAACTTTTTAGAATAGCAAGTCTTAATGTATTTAAAATATGAAGTATAATCTCCCTTGACAACATAATTGAACATGCTGGCCTATATCCAATGTCATGCTGCCAGCTGAATGCCAACACAACAGATTCCCCCCCCCCCGCTCCGGATAGCCCTCTGTGCTGCCCAAAAAGTAGCTCTGGTGTTCAGTTGCCAGCATGACATTGGATGTAGGCCAACATGTTCAATCTTTCCTGATGCTTTTGCAGGGGTTTTAGATGACAAAGAGGAGAGTGCAGTGGGAAGGGATCACACACACAAACACCCATGACCCTGCTAGCACAAGCAGTCACATCAGCAGAAATACTTTATTGGATCCTGGTCCTTGTAGTGTACCAAGAGCCAGCCTGAAAACCTGCTGTGATTGGGAAAGAGCTAAACACATTGTTTTAGTGCCTTATTTTGGAAGTGTTGCTTCTTAACATAAAGAGAATTTGCGATAGCTGTTGAGTTTTACCATCAGTCACAGTTACAGTGAGGCCCTGGGATTTTTTTAACGCAATTAGTTCCAATCACAATGCTCAATAAATGATTTGGGTTGGTGTTTATTATGCATTCAAGGTTTCCCCACTACCACCACATCAAGAAATACAATGTTTAAACAAAAGAAAATATACTCCATTCCTGCAAATATAGTATAGTCCATCTGTAGGCACCCACTTTGCTTTGTGACTGATCTTAGCATTTGGGGAACATAGAAGAAAGCCAATGGTATTTAATTTTATGGCTATGTCCTAGCCCCACAGTTTGGTAAGATGTGCATGGAGGGTTTTGCAAAGTTGCCAGGAACAAAAGGAATCAGGACAGGAGTACAAGAAATACAGAAACGAGAAAAATGGAAGGCACTTCCTTATTAGCAATCTGTGGCTTCAGTCCTCCAATTTTGTCTGAAGATTTGCTTGATTTGTGGGAGATCTTTCCTGATGACTCTGCAGCATGTAAATAACAGGCTTCATTCAGATGGTTTGTGATTGCATGTCTGTGGAATAGCCAGCAATTTGTGTATATCAGCAGGTTTTTTTAAAAAAAAAATCTTGCTACAGATAGTCCTGAATACTATACTATACTGTGTTATTTTCTTGCATTGTCAGATGGCAAACAAAATACTTTCTTTGCCACCGGCATGTATACATCCACCCATATCTATTTACAAATATTAATGAATAATGCTCTAAATATATGGCTCTCAAAAATTAATATTTGGATCTTTTTAAATCTGTCTTGTTTGAATGAAAGCATGCAGGCAGGCATGAAGGAAGGAAGGGAGAAATTCTCATTATACTTTGTCTAAAGAATGTTTGCTTTGTTTACAATTTTCATAACCGAGCTACATTGTCAAGTTCATTCATTTTCACACCTTCCATTTGAAAAATGATGTGTTAGTTGTTAAATCCAAGCTGTGATATTTATATGACTTCATCTGCCATTTCACTTACAGTGTGTTAGCATTTCAGGCATCTTCAGCACATTATACTGGGGAAAAACCCAGATTCTAAGGTTTACAGAAATAGCACAATTCTGAAAAACACAATGAAGCAGCAAAGTCACAAGCGGATATGAAGAACTGGCTACAAGATTTGAGTGAATGCTTTAATTTATTGCATGTTTTCATTAAAAGCTTTTTAGAAGCTTGGTGTTTTTCTTAATATTGATATTTGAAAGGTGTTGCATGTTTTTAAGGCTGCTGTATCATGCACACTTTGGAGAATGGATGGCTCATGACTGAGCAGGAGGGGCACCCCTCCTTGAAATTTTAGGATAGGGTTCCAAATCACAGCTTGAGAACAAACCTCATTGAACATTGCGAAACAAAAAAAAATCATGCACAGGATTGTGTTGTGCAACAAACAGCTTTAAAACAACAAACTTACAACAAACTACAAAATGAAAGATTGCACATAGAAGTTCCTAGGCTAGCACCTTGAGTTAGAAAAGAATTAAAAACAGGTGATGAGGAAGACATCATCTGACTGGGATTCTGGAAACCTGCCACAAAAGGTTGAGTAGAGAATAGTGTGGCTGTAGGATCTATTGTCTGACCTCCTAAGAGGTTACTATCCAGAAGTATTCATACCTATACTTTGAGGTGGAGATGGACACAAACCAGTGGTTTGTACCATTTAGTTTTTCCTCCAAATAGGTGTTTAGCATTTCCCAGCCCCAGTTCCTCCAGCGGGTGCCCATTTAGAGGCAGCACCTGGCGGGCCACTGTCTCTGAGTAGATGCTCAGAGAAGGCAGGGCTTGGAGGTGCCAAACATTTGTTCAGAAGCAAAACGAACTGGCACAAATTGCCGAACTGGCAATCTCTGTTCTGGAGTAATAGGTTCTCATGAGCAAGCTTAGGTTGTCAAACATAAGAGTGAGCTGTGAAGATTAGCAAGCTAACACTGTTGTCCTGTGCATTTGAATAAATATAATTTATTGAAGAGTTGACTGATTCAATAGTTCTTTTGAAACTACTGATTCAAGTGGGTCTACTCCAGTATAATTGACTATACTAAGCAACAGAATTTCAGCCAGAATGTTCAGTACTACTTCCTGCAGTTCCCTGGCTTATTGTTACATCCAAAAGCAACCAGTCAGATATATATCCGAGTAAGTCCCAATGGGAGTAGCGGCTTCCAACATGTATTAGGAGAAGATTTGGCTTTTTAAAGTTTATAATCGTCATGTTTGCTGCATTTGTGATTTTGACTAATTTCCTCATGACTTTGGGGGAATTCTTTTTCTTATTTGCCTGTTTCTTTCAATCATCATGTGCCTTTGTTAGGAAAAAAAAAAGGCTTATCATATTGCACCCAGTCAGGCTTTCAAGAGATTACCACAATCCAGATGTTTAGCAGTGTTTCTACCCTTACAGAAAACAGCAATTCCAAGTTTCCATGTATAGGACTCATAAAATAAATAATGTGGTAATTTTCTTTCAGGATTCCAGCTTGGATGTAATGCCAGAATCCCCTCAGTCACCACAACCAGATACTGATTCACTAGATAAACCCAAGCTGAAGGCTGGTGGTTCAGTAGAAAGTTTGAGGAGCTCCCTAAGTGGACAGAGCTCAATGAGTAAGTATTAAACAGAATGTTTAACACAGCTCAGTTTACATGTATCTCAATCTGATAACTGCTGGTTTGTTAGATCAAGAACAAGTATGGTTGTTGTGTACTCCCATGCCTTATTTTGGCACTTATAGAATTAGAAAATCTGATGTAATATTACCCCATAGTAGATTGTCATGATATACAAGACATGGGAGAAGGGACCTCTGGGCATAGTGCTTCTTCCTCTTAGTTTAATAAATTATGGTCTACTAGACCAAGCTGGTTACATCTGAACTGATTCTGTACCTTTTTGGTTGGAACATGAGTTTTTTTTTTTCCTCATAAGCAAGCAGCACTTAACCAGAACTGAATGTGAAACATAGCTGAAATCACAGATGCTGGAGGCCTAGTCTGGCTGTATTTAGCAGAACAGTATTTAAGTTCACTGGAAGGACAGATCCTGAAGCTGAGGCTTCAATACTTTGGCCATCTCATGAGAAAAGAAATCTCCCTGGAAAAGACCTTGATGGTGGGAAAGAGTGAAGGCAAGAGGAGAAGGGGACGAGAGAGGAGGAGATGGTTGGACAGTGTCATCGAAGCTACCAACATGAAATTGACCCAACTCTGGGAGGTGGTGGAAGCACGGAGGGCCTGCCGTGCTCTGGTCCATGGGGTCACGAAGAGTCGGACACGACTAAACAACAACAATTTCAGTTCATGTTTTGTCCCTAATATATGCCTTTATCTCAGAAACTGTGCAGACTAGCATATAAAAAATACTCTTAATGTATTTTTTCCTCAAGTCTTTCCAGACCTGGGAAGGAGAATTGCCCAGTACTTGTTTCAAATAAATTGTCAGATTTTGCACTGATGAGTATTTGATAGCACTTGAAAATCAGTGCTTTCTTGATAATACTTGAAAATCAGTGCTTTGAGAACCTGGGCATTCTCACTTGATGAATGAAAAATATCAAACTTTCCAAAAGCATTTAATATTTATGCAAGGCTTACATGAAATAGATATTCTGCATGTAAACTTCAATTTCTTTATTTCTTTTTAATGAATGAATCAGGCCATTATTTTATGTCAATAGCAGAAAGAGAGTTCATATTAGGGCCAGTATCTGGCCTTCATGTGTATCCACACTATGGTGTGAAACATAGCCAGAGGAGTCAAAATGTAAGTTTCTTGAAATATAAAGATTTTTAAATTCACAACCAAATATCAAGTTCCACTGAGATATAATATTAGGTCTATAGAATACCTTTGTCTCAGAAAAGAAAATTACATAGGGGCACACTTTAGAAGCCATGTAGATCTTGTGCTTTGTTCAACATGCAATTATAATAATATGTTTATAAATCTTGAGCACGTGTGTGTTTTCTAAGGACTCTCCTACTGTATATCTTTCCAAGTAATCTGAAAACCAGATTTTTCTCCCTTAGACTGAACTACAGCCTCTTACTGTATCAAAGCAGACCTCCTGTGATGGCCTTCTTTTTGCATCTCTTTATTTTAAGGCCAAGAAAGCACCTTTTCAGCCACAAGCAGCCCAGCAATGTTAAGGGTTCATGTGAAGGGTAGGGTATTATCAGTGAAATGCTTTGGGAGAGTGATTGCGCTTCTGGTTCTCACTGTTTCTTGTGAAAGCCTGACACAGACTATGCAGAGAAAGTGCTGTGGGAACTCATGGCTGTGGATGGGTTTCTGAAGTGCTGGTGAACACAGATGGGCTCTCTTTTTTTATCAGCCCTGTTAAAAGTCGTGATAAACAGGGTGGGTTTAAACCTCGCTGTGTTTGCTGCGCTGCCTTTCCTGTAACTGGTAGAAATCAATGTGAAATAAGTGCTTTAGCATGTTTTGGGTGGCACTGCTGTGGGTGGGTGTTTTATAAGCACTTCCTTTTTTTCCCCCTTTGGCAAACAGGTGGACAGACAGTGAGCACTACAGACTCTTCAGCCAGTAACAGAGAGAGTGTCAAGTCTGAAGATGGTGATGATGAAGAACTCCCATACAGGGGACCTTTTTGTGGTCGGGCTCGGGTCCATACTGATTTTACCCCCAGCCCTTATGATACCGATTCCCTGAAACTCAAGGTATTTTCTTCTGAATTAAGCACCATATTTGCATTTCGGGAAATTTTTTAAGGAAGTCTCCAGGCAAACATTCTATGCAAATGCATTTGATTGGTACCAATGAGCCCATTATTTTTTGTCTTTTGTTCCTCCTACAGACGGGACTTAAGTTAACTCACAGCATGATTAACTGAAAAAGGTGTGGATAGTAGTAAACAAATAAAAATAATTATGCTACTAAAACGTAGTGAAAGTAAAAGTAGCTCAATAAAGAAAATGCAGAACATTAAAATTTCGTTCCTCAGTGATTACAACTCCCCCCCAAATAAAAATAAAGAAGTTTTTCCAGAGGAAGATCAACAGAGCTAGGCATGTTATTTGGTGCCAGTACATTCATCATCATAAATATTTGCATGGAGGGCTTCTCTGCAGTATCTATGAATGGCTATGGTTTTCACTGCTGTGGAAAACCATGCACTACAGATTTGTACTCTACTACTGCAGCTTACAGAATTCTAGGATCCAATCTAAATGAAAATCTGCACAACTCTGTACACCTCTAATGTGTACACTTATTCCAGTAGGTGGTCAGAGGAGGCTGGGCCTACAGGTATACTGGTAATAGGGCAGCATGTTTTTAGCAGTAATGCTGCTACCCCCTTCAAATTTTTTTTAGGAACTTCATCTGAACAGCCCTCTGGTGAAGGAGGAATGTCAATGTATTTATGATTAATACAAGAAATATTATCAACTAATAAGATACTAAATTTCTTGCAAAGAAAGATTGTTGTGGCAGTCTGATCCATCACAAGATAGTAGAAGAGAGACACAGGAGATACAGAATGGACCAACTGAGTGTATTCACATGTCTCATTAAGAAATAGTTGTTGTTGTGAATGGTGAGCTTACCGTGTCATCCTTCCTTTAGCTGCATATATTTAGGATGGTGCAGGCATCTGAAAGCTTAAAAATCAACATTGGGCAAATCAAGGCCCTATTGGCTCCCCCCAAACTTTTCTAGCATCTCAAGAAAGAGTTGCTTTCCACTAGTGGAAGGTATTAAACGGGATGCAAGGCCCACCTCCATGCCTTCTTGTGCATATATACACATTTGGAACTAGAAGAGCCTCTCATAATTCCCTAGTTTTGATTCTCTACCATCGCTTGGACAACAGCTGGTATTTCAAAATAAGCAAATGGTTTTTGACAGCACTTTCCTATGACCTTAAATTTGTATAGGACACAACACTGCAGTAAACTGGCTGCTCAGCAAGGTGGTAATTGAGTGTTAACAGTTGAGTTTGCTGTCTAAAAATCCATTTCAGCAACCCAGTAGCAGTCTTGCTTTGGTTTAGGGATTAGGAATACATATGAGGTGACATAATACCTGTAGTCTGGTCTGGAATCTGTTTGGCCTCTGTAGTAGGAAGTGCATGTCTTTGCACGTGCAGACACAAACTATTTATGAGTAGTTATGTTCAGCCACTTCATTCAGATGTCATTTTCCGCCTCACAAATACAGTAGAAATGTTGTTTCTTTAAATAGTAGAAGGACCAGCTAGAGAGGCAGAGAGATGAGTGGCCAGCTGAAAATAAGTTAATTATCACAGATCTGGAAATGTATGCTGCAAATTCATTTCTGCTCCACTTAAAGATTTGACAGATCAGCAGAAAGAATTGCAGAGATTTATTTCTAGCATCAGGCACTTGGGAGGATTTCTTTGTCAAAAAGAATTGCGAACATAATTCCAAAATCTTCCATTTGAAGGGTTTTCACACACTTTAGCTTAAAATATTACAGAGATAAGAAATGGATTCTAGACTTTCTCAAAGTTTATTAAAAGAAACCCAGTGCCGTAAACTCTTTTGTTGATAAATACTTCTTTCCCTCTTGTGTCAGTTGATCACCAAGTCTGCATACATTAAGATTTATTTTACCTTATGAGGTGGTCAGCCTTCATTTTAGTATATAGTCAGACAACTGTAGACCTGCACAGATTTTGTCCTATAAGTCCAAGCCAGCATAGTAATGATGAGGATTTACAGGAACTGCAGTGTGAAAGCGTATGGAGGGCCAGAGTTGCCCATCTGTGGTTAGTCCTTTGTGGAGTCCTCAGTTAAATATATCCTTGCTTCCGTCATCTACAGAAAGGTGATATTATTGATATAATTAGCAAGCCACCCATGGGCACCTGGATGGGCCTTCTGAACAACAAAGTGGGCACTTTCAAGTTCATCTATGTTGACGTGTTGAATGAAGAGGAAGAGAAGCCAAAAAGGCCTACAAGGAGGCGACGAAAAGGAAGACCCCCTCAACCCAAATCTGTTGAAGATCTCCTTGATCGTATCAACTTAAAGGTTGGCTTCTGGTTTCTTATTGTTGTTCACGCCTCAATTATGAATACTTCAGTACTATGTATTTGTAGATGCTTCAATTTTGAATCCTTCCATTTAAAACAAATTGTAAGAAACAGGGAGGCACGAATTTAGCTGAAAGGAAAACAGATAGTATAATGGTATTTCCCTAGTTTAGAGGTTTGTTTAAGAAAGGAACTGAATTTTTCTTTAAAATCCTGTAAGAGACTCTTGACCTCAATCACCTTCTCATTGTTGGAGTTAGGTTGGCAGTATGGTGGCAATGAGGAGAAGGTGAAATCTTGAACTTGTAAAAAACTGTTTCGCAGTTTTATATATTCATGTATTATTTATGGGTGTTGTCCAATCCTGTAATTTATTTTCTTTATTCACATTTACCAAACTGCTAATACTATATGAGTAACTAGTCTCATTTTCTAAAACTCCTACCATAATTTTCATAACTAAATAGGAACTATTTCATAGGAATAGATTAGCTATTCATACATGACAGTTAATGTATCCTTTCAGGGGGTGGGTGGTAAGGCTAGTGAAAACATTTGTTCTTGGTTCTCTTGGGGGTGCATCTGGGTTTGTTTGTTTTTTCCATGCAATGATCTTTTCACTTTGCATGAATGGGACTACCTCTTTCTGAACAAATTTGTTTTGTTTTCCATCATTCATTTATTCTGGTGCAAGTAATTTAAAAGCCCTAAAGAACTATGAAAAACTACTCCAGAAAAGTAGATGAAAGGCAAAAGAGGATCAATCTACCTTAACCAGACAACAGTACAAACAACAACAATCATCCCCAAATAAAACAATCTTCAAACCCCCCACACACAAAATATATAGCTAGATATATATGCTAGGGCACATGAAAAATAGGTAAAGGTAAAGGTTCCCCTTGACAATTTTTGTCCAGTCGTGTCCGACTCTAGGGGGCGGCGCTCATCCCGCTCTTCAAGCCATAGAGCCAGCGTTTGTCCGAAGACAATCTTTCCGTGGTCACATGGCCAGTGTGATTTAGACACGGAACGCTGTTTACCTTCCCACCGAGGTGGTCCCTATTTATCTACTCGCATTTGCATGCTTTCGAATCGCTAGGTTGGCGGGAGCTGGGACAAGCGACGGGGGCTCATTCCGTTGCGTGGATTCGATCTTACGACTGCCGGATCTTCTGACCCTGCAGCACAGGCTTCTGCGGGTTAGCCCACAGCGCCACCACGTCCCTGGTCATGAAAAATAAGGAATGCCAATATGCATTTCTTCTAAGGCAAACTCAGTAGAATTGTTTCATTCTGGGTTTTTTGTTTGTTGATTCGACTTATATACTGCCCCATAGTGCCGGAGCATTCTCTGGACAGTTTATAACAATTATGCAAACAATAACTCCTCTCCCCCCCCCACAAGTAGCGTACTCATTTTGCCAACTTCAGAAGGATAGAAGGCTGATTCCACCTTGAGCCAGCTACCTGAAACTGTTGGGATCAAACTCAGGTCATGAACAGAGGCTTGACTGAAGCACTGCAGTGTAACCACTGCACTGTGGGACTCATGTCATGTACACTTTGCTCCAACCAAAGCGATACTCAGGATTGCTTTCCTCTGCCTGCTATTTTCCATATCAATCCCTAGAAGGCATTTTCGCATGAAGTGTAAGATGGAATGTCTTCCATTTCTTACATAATTTAGTAAATCAAATGCTAAAATGCTGGAGAGGGGAGTGGCAGGAAGAAAGGGCTGCAAAGTGTTTTCTTCTTACTAAAAGTTTTATAGAGATTATATTTAGATAGGCGTCTACTGTATTTGTTACTTCAAATTTAAATGTTACTTTAATTGTTGCCTGTCCTGGCATGTTCTTTCAAAAAAAAAATTTTCCTAGGGAAAAACCAACAATGCCAGAAGCATCTGAGCATAAAATCATTTATTTTCTCAGCTGCCATCCATAAGTGATGTCACGGGGGGCGGAGTGGTGGGGAGAGACGTGTGCTTTCTTCTCAAGGCATGACATCTCACAGATAAACTTTGTGACTCATTAATTTTGAAGAGATGGTCTGGAAAAGCCTGGTCCTGTGTTTTAAATACATTTGTCTTTTTCTCTTCCATTTTACTGAAAGAGACAGCTATCCTCCATTCTACCATGTTTTAGATTTACTGCTTTTTTTTTTTGGTGGGGGGGAGGCAGTTTCCGGAATCCATTTGTTGTCTCCTTGGAGCAGTCTTCTTCATCCACTGACGGCACAGCAGCTGTGGTCACCTACTGTTTCCATCACAACCTAATTCTAAATAGGAACCAAATAACAGACTCTTTCAATGGATGGCTCTGAACTGTCCTTCTGTCCTCTCCCCGCCACATGCTTCGAGTTTGTGAAGCGTACTTGTTCGCTTAGACTCATTTCTGAATATTTGTGTGCATACAAACAAGGAATGTTTAAGCAGATGTAGCTGATCAATAATTATGTTCCGAAATTATATTGTTAAATCTTACTCAGTTGCCATGATCACTGTAATCCTATCACTGCAAACTTTAAGCAAGCGGTACATCCTAAAACAGAAATGGGTGGCTTGCAAGAGCTGGGGGGAGGGGTCACACTCGCTCCATGCCCCCCAGGACAATTTGTTGTCCCAAAATCACATATTATTTTCCTGAAAAGACTCCATGAGGCATGGTTTGCCATATAAATCATTCCCTCTTCCAGGGCCTGTTTCAAGCTTTAAGAGGTCCTTTTTTAAAGAAACGGAAAGGGACTGGCTTCAGATGGGGAACTCAATGTGCGATTTCTGAGCTAAGCTTTTCCCCAAATTACAATCTGAAGAGGACCTCACTTTGTTCACCTCTGCCAATGGGAAAACTGAAACTGAGGGCATTACATACCATTGTGATGGTCATATAGTATAATGCTTAAATGTCTTTGTGCATAGTTTCATTTTTGGATACAACCTGCTCCCATGACCATCCCATTCTCAAAGCTTCAGATTAGCTGTTACAGCCTATGGTAAGAACCCAGAGTAGGAAGAGGGCAAAACAAGCAAAATTGTACTCACCATCTGAAGTGCAAGTCCAGAGATCCATTGTGACTTCCCTTAGAAGAATAGGTGGTATCGGTCATGGCTTGGTGTTGATGTGAGCTGGCATGATTGCTGGCAAGTCCCAACTAGACTGTTCATAAAGATTGGCACACAAGCAGAGGAATACATTACAACCATAGAATGTTCCATCGGGTGGTGGTGAAGTAGGAGTAAAAATTATGGAATGTTACATTTCTATTCAATGCTGTGTAGAATCTGTATTGCACTTAAACGGAATACTGCAGCTTTTAAAATTCTTATACAGTGGTGCCTCGCATAACGAGCGCACCGTTTAACGACGAATCCACATAGCAACGCGTTTTTTGCGATTGCTAATGTGATCGCATTGCGATGTTTTATACAGTATGGCAAAACATCATGTTGCGATTATTGGTAAGCGTTTCGCTTACCGATCTTCGCATTGCAATGTTTGCGGAACAGCTGATCGGCAGTTCCAAAATGGCCACCGGAAGAAGAAAATGGCCACCCGCTCCGTTTTCACGCCCTGCCCTCGCTTACCGGGCAGCGAAAATGGCGGCCGGATGGAGGATTCCCCGCATAGCCGTGAGTTTTTCCCCAATAGGAACCCATTAAACAGAGTTTAATGTGTTCCTATGGGGTCCCCCCCCCGCATAGCGACAAGTCCGGATAGCGACGTTAATCCTGGAACGGATTAACGTCGCTATGCAGGGCACCACTGTATAGTCAACAGCCAATAGGATTGTTATAACTAGGAAACTGAAACCACTGGTTAGGAAGAAAGAGCTTGGAATGATGGCCCTGAAGATGGTACCTTGTATTGAGTTGCTCTGTACTTTCATATCCTTTCTTTCTTCACAAATGCCTTATCACAGGAGCACATGCCCACATTTCTGTTCAATGGTTATGAAGACTTAGATACCTTCAAACTTCTAGAAGAAGAAGATTTGGATGAGCTCAACATTCGGGATCCACAGCACAGAGCTGTTCTCTTGACAGCAGTGGAACTGCTACAGGAATATGACAGTGAGTGAAATCTTAACGTTTCTTAACATTATGGGAATTGTGAAGATTACCTCAAAATAACCTCCCAGCTTCTTCTCTGGTTCCACTAGAATTCCAAGTCAGAGAAGAATCCCTGGTTTATCCCTTTAGCCTCAGAAAACTCCCTACTTTATTTGACATTTCCTGGCAGGCTGCAAAAGCAGAATTTTTGTAGAGAAAAGATGTGAAGAAGGCATGTGTTTTCTAATTTCTTTCTGTTTTTTAATGATACTTAATATCCTTGATACAAAGCTTACGGAATTATTTGAAATGCAATTTAAAAATTGCTCACAGGTTTTAGATTCTATCCTGCCCACCCAATGAATTCTTAAAGTATAGTTAGGTGCACTTGTTTTTATAGAAACTCCAGGTGCAATTATTCATATCTATCCATATCTATCTATAGCTGTGGGTGCTAATAAAACTATTCAAATGTTCAGTACTGTAAAATGGTGCAAATATCCTTTTTAAATTCTCTTAGAGTCTAGTTCAAGTCTTCTGCTTTCTAAGATCCCCCATAATAATTCTTAGCCCTCTTTTTCCACTGTCTTCTTCCGAGAATGATGTACCTGTAGAACAATAACAATGTCAGTATTTGCTGACAAGGATTCTGAGAAATTGTTGAATAATAAGCCTTTTAATGTGCAGGCCAATATTTTGTTAGGAAGGAGAACACAGCTATTGCCTTTATTCTTTACGTAAGTACTGCCTTCTTACTTCTGTTCCTTGTCTTCCAGGTAACAGTGACCAGTCAGGTTCTCAGGAAAAGCTCCTTGTAGATGGCCAAAGCCTAAGTGGATGCTCTCCTCGGGATTCGGGTTGCTATGAAAGCAGTGAAAACCTAGAAAATGGTAATAGTTTATCTATATCCATATCCAAAAGCGAGGTAGATCTGGTAGACTTCCCAGTGGCATTGAGAAAACTATCAAAACGAATAATTGTAATGGTTACTGATCATGGAATCATAACTCTATAGACCCAACAGTTCTAGGCCTAATTTTCTATTGTGGTCATTATAGCTGCATGGTAGTGGATCTATGGTATTGTGCTGCAGAGCAAATGAACATTTTACAAGGCAATTAGGGGGCGGTCCTGGTGAACGCGCTCTAGAATATTCCGGAGATCTCTGCACAGGTGCAGATTAACCCGTTAGTGTGCATTCACAGAGACTACAAAGAAGGAATTTGAGTTATGATTTTAAAAAATAAAACTGCCCCTCATCCTAAGAATGTCCCCAGACTTAGAACAGATCAAATAAATTGAAAAGGCCAATCTTGTACATCTTGACAGAGAATGATGGGCTCTATCCCCCTTTATTATTCTTTTTTTAAAGACTCTAGGCTGCATGGGCTGAAATACTGATTCTCAAAAATGCCTTTTGAAAGGTAAAATTAGTGACATTATTATAAAATGAGTATGTGTGGAACAGGATTACCAACAATAATGTTCCAAAGTAGATACAGTGTTACAGCTTTGTGGAAGGAAGGCTGTTGGGTAATGAAAAGTCATGGAAATAGAGTCAAAAGACAGATTTTCTTTGAAAAGTAAAAAAAGAAAGAAAAGAAAACCCCATCAGGCTTGCTTTAATGTAAGTAATGGAATGACAGTCCTCCAGAAGGGGACATTTTGCTGTGCATTGCCAGGGAATTAGCATACAATTTTGTAAGGCATGTTCAAAATGATTCTGCATTATAAAATCAGAAAGCAGCTGTTTTTGTCCCAGCCCTGAGTGCTTTCAGTAAACATTTGTTTGGGATTTTTGAAACCATGCTCCTGACACAAGTTTTCAAAGGGGAAATCATCTCCAAGTCAAGGGTAACTGAACTTTTGAACCTGTCAATCAGGACCGAATTTAATGTTTAAGTCCTTCCTGGCCAAATAGGGATTCATGCTTGGAAAGAGGTTCTGTTTTAAACCTATTTAAAATATACTTTTAAAAGAATACAGAATAATACTCAGAAACTCAGTTATTCAAACTGTGAAGTTACTGTTTTTTGCTTTGTGGCTGGAGATGGTCTTCGCACTTGTCAAAAAACTGCCCTGACAGTTGCTTTGTGTTTGGGTGAGAAATGGAGGCCTGAAAAAAAAGGACGCCAGCTACTGGGGTTTTCCCTTGCTTGGTGTCATTTTGTAAATGGCAGTGGGAACAAGAGGGTATCCTGCACACCATCTTGATTGCTGCCAATGGTGTTGTCAACATTCATGTTGTCCTTTGCTATGTAAAGCACTGCATCAGTTGCCCTGCTGGCAATGCAAACATGATATTGTGCAGCAATATTGGGACATTTACTAGCATTTTGAATGATGGATACAGAAGCACAATATTCCACATGCATAAACCAGAGGGTTTTTTAAAAAAAAGAATCAAATACTATTTTGGGGTGGGCACGGGGTGCTGCTGGTCCAGTGTTTCTAGACAATTTGCACATATGCTTCAATTCTTTCCTCCAAGAATACTGTCCTAGAGACATACGTAGTTTTTCAGCATATCCTTTCACACTATAGCGTGTTTATGTTAAAAGTGAATTAAAGGCTCCGCTCAGAGATCACATACCTTGCTCAGGTAGAAGACTATATTCTTTCCCATCTCACAAACAGTGTTAGATGAGGTTTGCTCCTATGGTAGAAGAGAGTTATCAGGGAGGGTTGCAAATTAGTGTTGCAGGAGAAAGTATTCAGAGCCTTAACAAAGGCTGTTCTCTGGGAGTTGCTTGTTTACTTCAGATGGACATTGCATCTTCTTTTGCTCAAAGAACTGTGTTGCTGAGCTACTACGAGAATCTTTTATGTGACTCACAGCATGTCAAGACTAGATTGAAACACTGATAGTCAGGAAAGTGAAGAACCACTGGCTGTGTAGTATTTTGCTGATCACAGCTTGTTTTGGAATTGAAATGAGTAGAATGTGAATGGAATGTAACTGTCTTTGAACATACAATGTATGTGGTATAATAAGGAGGAACATGTTTTTGAATTAACTGGATTCATACTAAATTCCTAAAATAAATGCATATAATGCTACCTGGGGTTAGTACAGACCAGGAAGTAACAGTAGCACACTGAATGTTTTAATGTTTTGATTGAAAATGAGCATAGCATTTTAATACATTTTTGTTTTTATATCTTCATGCAGTTTTCTTCTTTTTCATAGTTCTCTCTCAGGGCCAACATGCCTTTGATGGGTAATTGGATGCGTTCAGTTAATGTATCTGGATTTTAAATGTTTGAGCAGCAGTTGTGGAGTTCCAGGAAAGACCAGGCCGAGGGGGAAGGATTTTTTTAAAAACATATTCATCTCTCCCACATCCATACGTGCCATTAGTCCTGGCAACAACTGTTGGGGCCAGTAGAAAATTGCGTCTTCTTTAAGGATTTGTAATAAAGCTTTTCCGATGCATGGTAAATTGTAGTCAATGGACTATAGCAGCGATGGCGAACCTATGGCACACATGCCTGGCACGCGGAGCCCTTTCTGCCGGCATGTGAGCCGTAAGTCACTGGATTGCTGTTCCCCTCCCCACACAGCCAAACCTGAGAAGGTGGCTGCAGCCACGATGCTGGCACTCCGGCAGGCAGATCCAGAGCACCTGGCGCTGGCGGCGGATCCAGAGTGGGGTCTCGAGGCATCTCTGTGCCAAGATATCCCCTTCTGCCACCACTTCCAGTTCTGCTGCTGCAGCATGGGGCCCACTATTTTTTTATTTCCCCCCCCCCAAGTTTGGTCACGCAAGCCCAAAAAGGTTTGCCACCACTGGACTGTAGGGATATATAAATATGTATTGCTCTTTGTTTGTTTTGTTTTGTTTTGTTTTTTTCCTACTTGCATAATTGGATAAAAGCCAACTTTTACAGTCTTTGGATATGTCAGTTCTTCTGCTATGAATTCCGCAACTGACTGCCTCCTGTGGATGGTACATGGCAATGTTTGTGAAGTGACCGATACTATTTTAGTGGGTACTTTTAAAGGCCTTATGCCATCCAGAGGGGTATCACATTGGATGACCGGCAGATAAACTACCTCTGCTGATAAGTTTGGCTTTTGAGATCCCGTGAAGTGATATAAATGACAACTCTGTAAAGCTTCTGGAGCCTCTCAAACAAGGACTTATCTTGAGTCCAAGCTGTCTCAAATGTGAAATTACAGGTGGAGGGTACTGTTAACACCTTCTTGTCATAAACCCCTGTGTTTTCCAATTTATCTGTACATCTCTTTTTCATAACAGAAAAAAGGAGGAAAGGACATCTCTTTTTCATAACATTAAGGAGGAAAGGACAGAATAGCTTTTTATTGGCCAAATTTGGTTTTCTGGGTATGTGTTTTGAGTTTTCCCAGGCACAGAAATAAAATCGTGGAATTCATAGTGGGTAATTGATATTGATTAATGAGGTGGCATTCACGTACCAGGCACACAAACAGCAGTGTGACACCTGGTACCTTTTTAACTAGTCACAGTAAGCCACCTTGACTTCCACACTTTCACTTCTGTGCATGAAAAATATAACAGATTCTACCCAATATCTTTGGATTAGTAACTAGAATCTTTCCACCTGTATGCACTCACTATGACTATTTTAATCAATGCCTGTTTTAGATGTACTATTCACAACTTGACATTGCAATAGTCAAACAAGGAACATGCACATTTGAACTCATGGGGCATCCAGAATAAATGCAACGTATTCCAGGATGCCTGACTGATGTCAAAATCTCATTTTCTCCAACTGTAATATGCCTTATCTCATTTTTTTGTAAAATCCATGCCAGGAAGTTCTTTGTGAGCAGGTGTCACAAAGTTTGGAATCTTACTACGACTTCATAACTATTAAGCCCATTTTTAAGATGTGATGGAGGCCAACATATCTGGGATTCCATGTGCTTCATGGGAGAGAAATGGTCCTCTCAATTCATCTTTCTTACATGTTTCAAAGCCTCTGCTCTTCAAAATGTCAGCAGCAAAGCAAGTGCAACCCTTTTCTGGGAGCGTGCTATTTGAAGCCTGTTTAAAGCAGTGTTGGACTTCAGTGCCATCAAGGGAGAAGAATTATATGAATAATTTATATGCTTGCTTGACTATTCCAATTTCAGACTACAGTCTCCAAGATGTTGTTGTAATTCGTGTTTATAAATTGAGCCTATCTCTTACAAGCCAGTATACATAAGCTCAGAGGCCTGTCAGTGTGTACAATGAGGGGAAATATTTTACTGTTTACCGTTAGAGGAGAAAAAGCAATATATTCCATATCACACATTTTCCCTGTCAGTTTCCTGAAGTTCTAAACTTTTTCTGATGGTAGGGAAAAAACAATGGATCTAAGGTTTCAGTTTAATTTTTTTTTTAATTTCCTGTCTTCTGGAACTTCTGAAGAAACCTTATATTCTGCAGAACTCAAACACAATGTGCCTTGGATTCCTTACCATACAAGTAACCAACTATGTACTGTTTAGTTCCAACATTCAACATTTTTAGATAAATCTCTGCTTTGGGGTACTGTATATTTAAATTAATGCTTGTTGATTTGAAAAAAAGAAGAAAAACAAATATATCTTCCATTTTAAATAATGGGAAAGCAGTATGTCTTTACATGTAGGGTTGGCAGATTTCCAGACCTACCATTACAGGCTTCCGTCCATAAAACAAGAAGACATGTTAACTGAATGTACGGACAATGACTGAAAATGATACAGATAATTTTAGTTAATTTATTCAGAAGATTTCATTTCTGGAATGACATGTAAATACTAGCTACTTCTTACAAACCTTTAAACTCCAACATCAAAAATTATCACACAACTCAGCTTTTCCATATGACAGGAGATGGGCACAAACTACTGGTTTGGCAGTTCGTGCTGGTTCATTTACCATTGCAACAGGTATTCGGTGGTTCAGCATCCCGGCCCCTCCAGTGAGTGACCACGCAGAGGAACTGCCCAGAGGAAGTGCAGTAGGAAAGCTGGGATACTGTTTCCGAGTGGGTGCTCGCTGGAGAGGGGGTGGGGCACCAAACCTCCAAACACCTGTTGCGGTAGTATACAAACCAGCACGAACCACCCACCGAACAAGTGATTCATACACATCTCTGCACATGACATATTATGATGAAATTGATAAGCCTGCAAGACACAAGCCATGAAACTTAAACGAAAAGTCTGTTCTTAAACAAATAAGACTGGGCAGTGTGTTTTAGAAACCAGCATATTTACATGTTGACTGAAAGATGTAGAATTTTCGCCCTTCATCTAGCTCAGAACATTAGTTTTATTGCAAAAATGGGCAAGAACTGAAGGCATGGGAACCAAATTCAAGCTTCCAACCAACCCCCACCCTCAATGCAGATCAGGCCCAGTAATGATCATTAAAAAAAAATTGAACAGGCTGTTCCCAGAGAATATGGAAGTCACCCACTAGGCCCATAAGCAAATAATTAACACTTCTAGAGGTCTTTTTTCTACCCTCTCATTCAGCCATAATGTGTTTTAGTCAGTGTTTGAAATTGGATCAAATGTCGCTTCACTTCCTTTCAGGTGTCTGGCTTACACCCCACACCCTCTGTTGTCTTGTTTAGCATATAGTTTTAATTAAAATATCTACAATTTGTCTTACACGTGCTTTACTTAAGAGTAGAAAAATATGTTTCAGATTTTACTCATGAAAATCACAACAAACCAAGTCAGTGTTGAAAGAAACTATCCTGTAACATATGGGGGGAAATCTAGCACTGGGAAAGTTCTACTTCTGCCAGCCTTTTAGAGAGTAGGGACAAAACTTGGAAACTTACAGCGTTATATTAAATACAGTATGTGCTTTTGCACACAGAGAATACTATAGAGCAGTGCTTCCCAAATGTGGCCCCCAGATGTTCCAGAACTCCCAGAAGCCTTTACCATTAGCTGTGATGGATTTCTTGGAGTTAGTCCAAAAACATATTGGGACCCAAGGTTGGAAGCCACTGCTTATAGAAGTTCAGAAACCAGCATAGCTAGGCACTGTTTAATTCACAGCAACATTTATCCAGAATTATTGTTTCCTCTCTCACTGCTCCATTCTATTATTCACAGCAGCTCAAGATGCACATTGGTTTATGAATGCAAAGGAGCTGTTATGCTAACACAGAGTTCAGAAAATCCAAGCCTGGAAAGAAGAAAAAAACACATATGCATAAAAATGAGTGCCATCACAAAGGAACAAAAGTAGCACTCATATTCAGTATTTATGTGCCATGAACACTAAGCTGAAATACACCTGGTAAATTGCTGCATAGCTTCAACAGCTGTAGCTCTGTGTACACGTGAATACTGAACAGGGCACTTGTCAATATTACTAGAGTTGGTTTCTTTTGATCCCAAGATTACACACAGGCTTTTTACTTATAAGCTGTGTTCCTATGTTTGGTCAAAAGCCCTCCTGACAAAATAATCTTAATAAAATTATCTGAATACATTCTTAGAAAGCCTCAAAACTGCTCTATGCTGTGGCAGCCTTTATTGTTGTTTAGTCGTTAAGTCATGTCCAACTCTTCGTGACCCCATGGACCAGAGCACGCCAGGCCCTCCTGTCTTCCACTGCCTCCCAGAGTTGGGTCAAATTCATGCTGGTTGCTTCAATTACACATTAAAGCCTCAGCTTCAGAATCTGTCCTTCCAGTGAGCACTCAGGGTTGGTTTCCTTCAGAATGGATACGTTTGTTCTCTTTGCAGTCCAGGAGACTCTCAAGAGTCTCCTCCAGCACCACAATTCAAAAGCATCAATTCTTTGGTGGTCAGCCTTCTTTACGGTCCAGCTCTCACTTCCATACATCACTACAGGAAAAGCCATAGCTTTGACTATGCAGACCTTTGTTGCCAAGGTGATATCTCTGCTTTTTAAGATGCTGTCTAGGTTTGTCATCACTTTCCTCCCAAGAAGCAGGTGCCATTTAATTTCGTGGCTGCTGTCACCATCTGCAGTGATCATGGAGCCCAAGAAAGTAAAATCTGTCACTGCTTCCATATCTTCCCCTTCTATTTGCCAGTAGTTGAGATCTAATCCTCATTCACGTCACATTATTTTATTTCCTTTTTAAATAGAGGCACAGAAATGAGAGAAGGGTACTGAGAAAATATGGGAAGTGCCAGAAATGGATATCTTTCCAGACAGGCTGAATGTACGTCCAAGGCAGAAGGAAAATGAAAGAGGGGATGTATTTTATAAATGGTCTCGATTTCTTGATAGAGTTGGAATAATTTAGACTTAAATATGAATATAAGCTGATATTTAGAGGATAATCAAATAGTATACAGATATATAAAAAAGAATACAAAGTTGCTTTTTGTATTGAAAAATGAATAGATCAGAGGCATGTATACTTAATATGAAGAGAGTGTATGATTGTATATTCTGTATTCTCCTATCCTCAAAACCTTTTTCCCATCCCTTACACTCCCTTTTCCCTTTTGTATTCCCTACCCTATTCCTAGTAGTTTAAAAATAAAAAAATATTTTAAAAAAACATTATTTGCTTTCCTTTTTTAAATCAAATTATCCTGTGGATGGAATTAAGTTGGCAATGCTGATATTTTTGATAGCTGACACAATTATCACTGTAAATAACGAGGAATGTGAAGATTTTAAAAATAGCTATCTGAATATTAAACACTGTCTACAATGTTTGCACATACTTGTACGTACTCAGAAGTCCAGTTAATTTCAGTTGGGCTTATGATGCAGAAATACTCCCAATAATCTAAAGGTGCATACATCAACCATGTTACCCCCAATTCAGGCATAATGACTGAATCAGGATTACATGGTTGATAACATGCCTGAATCTGTATAGAGCTAAATAGGTGGGGGGGGGTGTTTACAGGAACACACTCTCATGATTCTTTGCAGTCCTTGACATGGAACACCCAAAGGTTCTGTGGACCTCTGGGTGGGATTAGGAAGCAGGGAGTGAGACGTACATACCTCTTGTCCCCAATGCTTATATAGCCCTACAAAGCTTCAGGTACAATGCATGGACAGATCACGCCTCTAATCAATTTCCATTTAGAGATTTTATGAAATTTATATTATATTTAGGATGTTATCCTGTATTTTGTACAGAATTTGTATAAAAGCTAATTTTTGTTTTGTTTTGTTTCAGCTAAGGCTCGAAAGTCTTGTGTCCTGCCTCCAGAATTAACCAGTGAATATAGTTTTAAGAACTTCCACAAAAACCTCCTAGCAAATTATCCAAATCTGCCCTTAACTAAATCAGCAGATCCACTTCAACAAGGAGAGAAAGCACAGTTCAGTTGTATACATCAGGTTCCAAAAAATTGTCTTGAGACACCAGCAAGTACAGGCCTCAGGAAGAACCGCAGAAGTCTACCTGTCGGTATCTGTCGGAGCTGTGAGATTTTGGATGGAACCCCCAGCATGCCTGTCTGGCCAAGATCTCACTCCCTAGGTGACCTTCATGGAGAAACTGGCACTAATTGTGGGAAGTCAGTAGGTGCTTTACCTCAGGATGCACTGGATTTAACACAAAATTCAACTAGCTGTGGAGATGGTGCACAGATAGCAGAATTGTCGATGACCAAGGAGAGCAAAGAGGGTATTGGTGCTCTTACTGGAAAAGGAAAGGCGTTGCATTTACCTGCAACCATCCCTTCAGGTGGAAGATTTCCTCTGTTTCTGCCTCAGAATTGTGATGTTCGGTCATCAACACTTTCACATGGGGTAGGTTGGACCCCTTTTGATCTCGGAAAGGCTGATCACTTTCCAGTCCCCGAGAACGGCGTAGAATCTGATCAGAAATGTACAAATGAAGCAAGAACTCAGCTAAAACCCTCCTCACAACCACCACCAGTTCCAGCCAAAAAAAGCAGAGAGCGGCTTTCTAACGGACACTGTCTTTCTTCAGCCTTTTCTTGTCCAGATGTGCCATCTTTGCCAGCAAAAAAGACTACCCAGTTTGGTTCCTCTGACTCTCACATATTGACTGTGTGCAAGGGTGCTCCTGAACAGGAACCCAAGAGCCCTTCCAGCATACGCCCTCCTTGGTTGTCCGATCTACCAGAGACTGCTAGTGTTCAGCAACATGTGTTAAAACTAGGTCCTTCTGTAAGAAAAGTCTTCTGTAACAGAGGGCTGGATCTGGAAACATTGATAGAAAACAAGCTGCTGTCAGAAGATATCGATCTTACTGAAGACCCGTATTCTGACAAGGTATGGTGTGGGAAGACTAAACCGTTCCTAATATTAACTTCATACATTTTCCCGAGTTCAGTTCCTTCCCTTTTTTAGATGGGTGTTCTGTCGAGCTATTCCTTAAAAATTTGCATAAACTGACAAATGAGAAAGGCCAATAGTGTTTGATTAGATTCCCAGATTCATTCATATATTTCAGCACACACGTGAAGGTACAAATTGCTCCTTGTTCTGCTCCATGTATAGTGAATTTTTAGATGCAACTCTTGCCGTTCTTCTGCAAATTTTTCACTCCGATTGTCTGTATTCATAGCACAGTCCACGTGGTGAACCAATTACTGTAAATGAATTCTGAGGCAAAATTGGCCATGCAGAACTATTTGAAGTTACTCCCAATGTTTACAATAAGTATTTATTTATTTATTTATTTGATTGATTGATTGATTGATTGATTGATTGATTGATTGATTGATTGATTGATATCCCGCCCATCTGGTAGACTCTACCACTCTGGGCAGCTTCCAACATAGAATATATACATTAAATCAGCGCAAAACATTATAACATAATCCATAACAGATACAGTGCCAAAATATAAAATAAAATAATATATAGCAGAGTATACTAGTACTCTGAGCTATCAACTCTACAGACGCATAGAACAGATTACTGAAACTCAGTGTTAATGCTGCCTGACATGTAGCTTGTGAACATGTAAAAACTGGCTTCTGTCAAATGGCAACAAGCCCTGCAATGCCCATTTGTCTGCTATTTGATTTGGACAAATGCAATCAACATTAAGGACATTTCAGTTCGTTAATGTTAATGGGAGAGGGTGTTCAGTGGGTCTTTTTGAACATTTGGCCTAAATCAAAATGGGAATCCCAAGTAGAGTAGACCAACTGAATAAAATAGGATTAACAAAATCATTGATTCAGCGTTCGTCTATTGATTCGGTTTCTTCAAGTGAGGATTTGAGCCTTTGACTTTGGATGGACAGTGTGTTTTCTTTCAGAGCAACACTAATCATGATCCTCAAGACATTCCATTCCAGAAGCTGCCTTGTGTGCCAAAACAGCTGCACATTAAATTGGAAAGCTATATTCTCACAATTAATTTTACCAATTTTTTAGAGGAACAGATTTAAAACCTAAGGCTTACAAGCTTCTCAGTACTGAAAAAGATATTGATGTTCCCAGATGTAGATTTTCTGTGGAATTGAAGATTACACACCAGTTTTGGTTTCTTAAGGCAAAAGAGCAACCAGATGGACTTAGATACACATTTTGGTTAACCAAAATTTTGTTTACTTCTTCCTACTTTCCATCTTCTGGAAAATTGGAATCTGCAGCATGGCCGCTGTGGCATTCCTGAACTTTTAGTGCAAAGATACTCAGAAGACTTAGACCAGCCTGAAAAGGATGTTGCTACAAATTTGGACCAAATACGAGTGAAGCAGCTGAGGAAGCAGCACCGCATGGCAGTAAGTCTGTGATCAGTTATTTACTTCAGTAAGTCTGATTAAGTGGTTTATTTCAGCTTGAAGAGGAAATAAGAAGTGATTTTTAAAAAGTTAACATGATGGAGTCATGGTAAAAGGGTTTTACCACTTTCAGTTGCAGGTTGGGGAAAATGCTGTCAAATAATATTTCTGAAATATGCAGTGAACTTTTTATTCGCTTCTGTTGCTATTGAAACACTGTTGCTGCTTTTCTGACAAAAGTGGGCAAACCACTGTATTACTTTTTTCTTCTCTCTCATTTCAGATTCCAAGCGGAGGCCTCACTGAAATCTGCCGAAAACCTGTGTCCCCTGGACACATCACTTCCATAACCGACTGGTTGGTTTCTATTGGCCTCCCAATGTACTCAAGTTCCCTCATGACCGCCGGAGTCAACGACCTAAGCAAAGTGCCTGCTCTGTCACAAACTTTGCTCCATGAGGCTGGCATCACAGAGGAGAGGCACATAAGCAAGCTTTTGGCAGCAGCAAGACTTCTCAAAATCCTCGATCCAGAGCCAGTTTAACATGCTCTGAAATGTAACACCGGCTGGTTGGAGGACCTCCCATGTCTCACTCCATCTTTAGTATCTCCAGGGAACTTTGGAATGAAGCCAAGCAGGCCCTTCGGAAGGATTTAAGGGTTTAAGTGGGTTTTGCCTATGATTCATACAGGAGAATAGAAGCCGCTTTTAGTGATCAGAGAGAAGTGTCACTACCTGGGTTGCCCCCTCCAAAAAAAAAAAGGCACAAGAAGTTATTTTAGTTGCTTAGAAACCCCAAAGCTGCCTGGGGGGGGGGTCATAAAATTGTCTTATGTGCATTACACATACAAAAGGGATCCTTCAGTCTGCTAGAATATTGTTTAGTTTCTTTGTTTTTTTGTAAACTACACTAACTTTAAGCTCCAGGAATTAGATGTCAGAAGCACACATAGCTCAGTTAGGCCTACAGGAGCTTTTGATCTATTTCATGGTCAAAAGTACAGCTCACCGATTCAATGTGGCTCTACAGTTCTGAAAATGCAGACACCAAGAGAGAAAGAATTCTCCCCCCCCCACCCTTGCTTGCCCTCTAATTCTAGGAATCCCATCCTATTTAAAAGAAAACAGAACCCCTCAGTGCTTCCTTTCTGTAGCCTTTTTAGTGTCATTTTCTTCAGGCTGCTGAGTCTGTGCCAGGGAGAGACCTTGTGGGTCTTGAGGTGGTGTTCAGCTCAAGCTCCCAACATGCCAGCATGTCTAATGCTCACAGGTCATGGGAGCTGGAGCCCAACCACATCTGGAGGGCTTCGAGGTTCAGTATTATGGACTGGATTTCATTTAAAGTTAATTGTCCTTGCAGTTCATCAGACAGCTTCAGAAAAATCCCTTCTTTCTGCGATATTGAAACAGCACTTTTAGTACTCGGTTTTTCCTTTGCCTTAAAATGGTTTTGAGCAGTTCACTTTATCAGCATATTCATTTCCCAGGCCTTTCAAGTGTTACCACTATGGTTTGATAACAAACAGGTTTTTGTCTAAAGCAATTTCTGTAGATTATTTAATTGTAACATGTTTTATAACATTGTGTGTTTTTTTTACTTTTTGTTTTTTGAAATTACCAATTTTAGTTCTCAGGCTAACAGTTTGTGTTTGCTGGTAATACTAAAAGTCTGAAAGATACTTTGCATTGCTTATGTGCATGCATATATATATATATATGTATGTATATATATGTATGTATAATTATAAAAATTATAAAAATGCTTTCCATGTTAATCACAATTTTGTATATTGTGTTATATTATCAATAGCTCTGAGGCAGCTTTGACTTGGTAACCTGACCATATCAATCCGATATACTGCTTTCTTGAAAAGGGAAAAGAAAGGAAGATTTATCAATGAGAGATAAATAAACTGAATAACAAAACTGTCTCATATACCATAACAGAATTTAATTCCATTGTAAAGATTGTGGGACATGCTGTCATCCTTGCTAAAATAAATCACCTCCATTAGTGGTTGCTTAAACAACTTTTTAAGAAGACAAGTTATTTGGGCTGTTAGAGCAATCTGTTCCTTCACAGTGCCATGTTCTCATTTTCTAAAATTATTAAAATACAGTGCATTACAATCTCCTTACTTCTCTGAATATGGATAAAGTTTATTTTTGTACATGACCTTTTGTATACCAAATAGATTGAGCCTGAACAGCTAGATTATTCTGTAGTTCCAATTAAAATTAACTAGGATAATAGAGGCATTTCAGGATAGATAATGAGCAAGCAGACTAGAAGATGTAGTAAGCTTAGCATGAACTAGGAACTCAGAAATGTACGTACTTGAAACTGGCATGCAACTTTAAGCAAGTCCCATGGCCTCACTGTGCCTTCCTTGGTCTGCCCCTGAGTAAGAAACAATTTACACAGTGTCTAAAAATGCATTCAGTGAAAACATTTTGTCACAAGCCCAAAGCAATGACACCACCTCCCCAAAACCTTTTGACTACATTTTAGGCTTTGTATCTTGCTGCCACATTTGCAATAATTCATTAAAACTAAAAGATACAGGATACGATCTAATCTAACATTGTGTCCAAGCAGCTGCTCCTAATTTTCTTTCCTTTGTGGGGGGGACAGAGAGATATGATAAATCCTAAAAGGTAGCTATGAAGAATGTTAGACAGTTGAATATTTTCAGTGGAGACCACTCTTATTTTAACAGAAGAACTCATTTTAAAATGAAACATATTCCATTAAAGTTAATAGAATAAATTCTCAGAATAAAGGTCAGTGATTAAGGTGCTAGCAAAGTTTCATGTTCCCCAAGCGATTTGTTCACTCTGGTCTGCCAAAGGGCTAGATCCAGCAAAAAAAACATACCCTTCTGTCTACTGCAGACATTTGACACAATATAACTTTTCTGCTGGTTAAACAGGGGAGGTGGTTATCTGCCAATTTCTCCTTTACCTGATTATGTTGGAGGGTACATAGTGACTGACAACTGGCAGTAATAATCACTAGAGATGGGATATTCATATTGATCTCCTGGGCCCTTTCGAAACCACCACCACCCCCAAGACCCAGCCTGGACCACTCACTGGGCTTCGCGTGGGGTGTGTGTGGCCATTGTCAAAAACTTGGTGCCAGTCGCAGAAGTAGCCAGGCCAGATGACGAATCTCCCCACTCATCTGCTAAATGTAGGCAGTAACCATCTCTAATAACTGCAGTTTATTTACTCTCAGTGGAAGTAGTCAAAATGGATCACTCAGAGACATCTCTGTTGGCAGAACAAAACCTCTGGGTCCAGCTTGGAAGCAACTCTCACAAATGCCATCAAGACTGGCTTCCACATGATGTGCACAATCCAAACAAAATAAACACCTTCAAATGTCTTGGTGCAGCCATTTCAAAGCAATACACTTTAGCTGGACTATAAAATCTTGGATCAGGATGCCGGTCTGTATTAGAACAATGTTTGTGAGCCTTCTCCAAAGATGTTACTATTTAAACAGTGCAGCAAGTATGTCCAGGCTCCACCAAACAGAAAATAGAGCATTGCTTTAATTCCTGTCCCCCGCCAACCACACGCACACTGGTTTTCAATCTGAGCAAATAACTTGACTTAATGTTCGGGAAATTATTATATGCTTCAGAACAAAGCGTAAGTGGATTTTTTTTAGGTGATGACGCTTAAGTGTGACTATGTCCCTTTCTGCTAGCAGAGCTCTGTATTTGGGCAAAGCAAGGCTTGTATGGTGCAAAGCAACTGAAAATGCCTTTATATAAAAGAAATGTTGCCTTTGTCTGTCATCTTCTTGCTGTTTCCCCCAAATTATCCCTCAAAAAGAGTGCTTTGCAACAGCCTATGTACAAAACAAACTATCACTGAATAGTAATTTTCCTCGCTGACATTTTCTAATATGGTATCAATTGTTTCAGGTGGTTTCCTTTAGGAGATTTACCCATTCCTATACAGCCCCATGAGTCTGGTCAGTATATTGCACTGAGCAGACACCATTACTGTATCTGGAAAGATTTCATGTCCCTTTGCACATGTTATTTGCATTGAAATTAATGGACAGCCACATGTACACAAAGTATATCAGAGTGGTACTGCATAGCTGGGCTTATACAACTACAAATCTGTTGAATAACTTGCAGAATTTCTATCTGTTCGTAACTTAGGGTAGAATCCTGATGTGGAAATGCAGAGTGGTAACACTTTGTGGTCATAGCACTCTGCACAAGCTGTGCCTTGCAGTTAAGCAAGCAGGAGGTCAGACTACGCAAGGCAACAGGGCTTCTGCTTGCCCAGGGTGATGGTGAAGGCCTCCTTGTGCAAGTGCTGGGAACAGAACAATCTTGTGTGCAACTGACTGCTGCATGTGCAGTAAAAGTAAACATGATTGTGCCCTGAGTTTGTGCGTGTTGTTTCATAGTGCCTGGCTATCTTTAACCTACTAAATGTAGGCAGTGAAAAGCAGTTCCCTTTTTTAAAGTAACACAATGGATGTTACACTAGAAGTGAATGAAGATCACCTGGGGACCTTTTTAGGGAAAACAACTATATTAGGATAGAGATATTGCTTTTACGGTTCTGGCTTGCAGAATTAAAGAAGAATTCACTCACCCTCAAGGAAAGTGTGGCATGCTTTAATATTTACAAACCACCTTAAGGAAAAAAACAATGATATCTTGACTAGAGGCCAAAAGGTATTCAAGTCTTATGTCTGCACATGCATGAATTCAGGGACAGCTTTCTATCCATACATCCACACACACATGTCCATCTTCTAATTTTTTAAATAATTAGATCAGCATTTTGAGTTACATTTTTACATATATACAGTGGTGCCTCGCATAGCGATTAACTTTTTGCGATCGCTTTTGCGATTGCATTGCGATGTTTTAAATAGGGAAAAATTATTACCGATCATCGTAAAGTGATGATTTTTAACAGCTGATCCGCGGTTCCAAAATGGCTGCCGGGTAAAAAAATGGCCGCCCGCTGTTTTCTGGGACGGATTCCTCGCTTAACGGGCAGTGAAAATGGCCGCCGTATGGAGGATTTTTGCTTTAAGGTGAGTCTGAAGCCCATAGGAACGCATTGAAGGGGTTTTTAATATCGCATAGCAACGAAATCGCTTTGCAGCGATTTTTGCGGCACCGATTATCGCCGCTATGCGAGGCACCACTGTATTTATGTAACTTCAGTGTAGCATGTCCTTAAGAAGAAATGTTGTAATTAGCAATCGATTAGTACAGGTGGAGTTAATTAGTCAGGTGGCGTTCATTAGCTCTTTAAAGCTAACTGATCTAGCAGATGACCATTTCAAGAACATCCTGCAAAAGCCTTAAAGCTGGGTACTTTCTCTTGCAAAAGAAGTACCAGTAACATTAAGATCTCAGTGCTAATACTGTGTTAATTACTCTCTAGTCTTCATACAGAAGTTTCCAAATGAACGTGAGATTACAAGATACCAGTATAAAGCCAGACGCTCATACTGATTCATTTTCGCTTTTCTTTTGAGAAACAGGGTGAGTTCAGTATCCATGGTGTACAGTTTTAATTGGTAGTTAATATCAAAGTCAGAAGAAAATGTTCAGTGGTTATGAGCATTGTTCTAGTCATAAAATGGCTTTGGGTTCAAGTGGCAATGCCGGAAAGAAAGAAAAATCACAAGTCAGATACTTATTTAGCCTATTCACACATTTCTGGGTGTAAGCAATAAAGGTCAATTCACCAAGTCACAGCTGTACCTCTATATTTTACTATTTTTAAGCTAAATACACTGACTACAAATTAACTTTTACCCATAACCGAGGCCTCTTTTTTGGAAAACAAAAATTGGAAGCAAGTTATGTAACAATTAACCAATGTTGCACTTTCTGTATATGAATCAATATTTAAATAACTTATTTTTCTCCATTTGCTGTTCTTAAATAATGTAAGTAGCTGTAATATACCAGTACCCAATATGTCCTTGCAGTTAGCTTCAACCTGAGAAAGCTGTGTATAGTAAAGAAAGAGCAAACATGAAAACAAAAACAAGAATCTTATGAATGTGTAAAGATTATGTGCTCTGTTTTATTTAGCAAAGAGGGGCAACAAAATGAATCTTCTGTGTATGAAAACTTCTCTATAATTATGTCCTACTGTTCAAAGAAAAATAAAATTCCTTCAAGTTCATATTTATATGTAATATGACATTTTTAAGTTTGTTTACATAACTAAGACTTAATTGAAGGAGAGAACCTCTTCAAAATTATTGAGGTAATATTTTTGTCAGATGTAGGAGGTCCTGCTGAACAAGACTTCAACATTACATATCAGCTGTCTAGAATGAACATCATCTGTCTTTCCTAGATCTCCAGTGCTCATAATAACAGGCACTTACAAGCTGGCATGTTACTTTACTCCTATACAATCCTGCAGATCTTCCAGCTGTCGGGCACTGAAAATAGATAAGAAGTCCAGTGGCAGGCTATCAGATGGTTTAACTTGCTCAACTGTACGAATAGCAGTCTTTTACTGATGATAAGGAAGTACTGTACACTGAAGGGCTATGTCAGGGGCAAGGTACAACACCACCTCATTTTCACGGCACTGTCTCACCAAAGGAGAGAAATTATGGCAGCCTTGGAGTTCTGGTGAGTTTTCCATTCTAGAGCTGTCTAGAATAGAAACAGCAGGATAAAGGAATTATGCCCTCACCATCTTGTGCATTGGCTGACCAAAGGCAGAAGGACTGAGCAAGCAGCAAAACTTGATCGACAGTGTATTTTGAGTAAGAATTCAAATACATCTCCTGGCTACTAAATGAATAATATATTACAAGCAGTTTACTGGAAGAGTTACACACTCACAGAAGGGCAGTTGTGTGAGCACTTCCCCAGCGTTGTCAGGTTCCCCTTCACATCCCTGCTCTCACAAGTGTGGGTGCTAGTTTTGTGATCAGTCACACAACAGTTGTCTTCCACAGTGGGTAAAATGTTTCAGAGTTGCTCTTCTCCTCTGAATAGGATACTGACTTGTGTTACTAAGTGAAAAGTAAAAAAACTGAACAACACCTATGAAGGAGTTGTGGAAGAGCATGTCCAGTTTATATGGAAAGATCCCAAGTGTTGTTC